CAAGCGTTCTTGTTCCGAGGTAGATGGAGGATGAGTCATCCAAAAACGTTCTTAAGCTCATAAATACACTCTGCTCATCATCTGCGACTGATGAAACCATAATTACAGAGACCGCATTCAGCATCACCTCCATTCTCGGATGTCTGCCTAACAGTCGGGCCAATGGAAAGAGATGCTGCACAGCCACAGTTATGAATCCATGTTCACAGATGGCCACAGCCTTCAAACACTTTGTGCAACATCAATCTTGTGGACGTGACATTTGCCCCCCTCCCGGCGCCTTACACAAAGGTTGCTTTTGAAAGATTACTTCGGAGAGCGATTTTCAGGGGAACGGAACAACCTGATGGATTTCGGCCCTGGAAAAACCTCAAAAAGATTAAAAGCAGACTGCACCTGCACCTGCTATTGACATATTTTTGTACAGCGTGATAAATGGATATCCTACTTTTTCAGTTATTAACTGCATTAAATAGTTTCTGTACCACTGAGCAAAGATCTTGTTGCTGGTCATTAGTGGTGCTTGCTAAAGCAAAGCATCTACTTATATTACTTTTGCTCATACTTGGGGGATTTGAACAAATCCCTAACACTAAGCATTAAACTTTGGTGCAGAAATTTTCCTGAATACCTCAAATTCAGGAGAAGTGTTGAAGAAATGTGCTTTTGCATTCGCTTGGGGGATGATAAAATGGATGAAAACATCCTCGGATTTATATTGAAGAAAAGACACACATACATTTATATATATATATATATATATATATATATATATATACAGTAAAAAACTAAAACAAAAAACAAACATATACACTCACCTAAAGGATTATTAGGAACACCATACTAATACTGTCTGACCCCCCTTTCGCCTGCAGCACTGTCTTAATTATACATGTCATTGATTCAACAAGGTGCTGAAAGCATTCTTTAGAAATGTTGGCCCATATTGACAGGATAGCATCTTGCATTTAATGGAGATTTGTGGGATGCACATCCAGGGCGTGAAGCTCCTGTTCCACCACATCCCAAAGATGCTCTATTGGGTTGAGATCTGGTGACTGTGGGGGCCATTTTAGTACAGTGAACTCATTGTCATGTTCAAGAAACCAATTTGAAATGATTCGAGCTTTGTGACATGGTGCATTATCCTGCTGGAAGTAGCCATCAGAGGATGTGTACAACATGGTGGCCATAAAGGGATGGACATGGTCAGAAACAATGCTCAGGTTGGCCGTGGCATTTAAACGATGCCTAATTGGCACTAAGGGGCCTAAAGTGTGCCAAGAAAACATCCCCCACACCATTACACCACCACCACCAGCCTGCACAGTGGTAACAAGGCATGATGGATCCATGTTCTCATTCTGTTTACGCCAAATTCTGAATGTCTCAACAGAAATCGAGACTCATCAGACCAGACAACATTTTTCCAAACTTCAACTTTTGGTGAGCTCTTGCAACTTGTAGCCTCTTTTTCCAATTTGTAGTGGAGATGAGTGGGGTCTTCTGCTGTCTAGCCCATCCGCTTCAAGGTTGTGCGTGTTGTGGCTTCACAAATGCTTTCTTGAATACCTCGGTTGTAGCGAGTGGTTATTTCAGTCAAAGTTGCTCTTCTATCAGCTTGAATCATTCGACCCATTCTCCTCTGACTTCTAGCATCAAGCATTTTCGCCCACAGGACTGCCGCATACTGGATGTTTTTCCCTTTTCACACCATTCTTTGTCATTAAATCATTGCTTAAATCCCCTTTCTTTCCCATTCTGACATTCAGTTTGGAGTTCAGGAGATTGTCTTGATGAGGACCACACCCCTAAATGCATTGAAGCAACTGCCATGTGATTGGTTGATTAGATAATTGCATTAATGAGAAAAGAAATCTAAGTAGTATTTTTGCGCATTTCATAACAAACTTAAAGTGCCCCTCTGGAAAAAAATCAAGCTTTTTAATGTCATTTATATGTCTATGTGGCGTTTTTAATATGGTTTAAGACAAACCAAGTCAGAATCATTGCTGATTTTCTTCTTAAAAGTGCGGTGAACCAAAGACACACGGTTTGAAATCGCTGGTGTTTCTGACATCACAAACTACCTTGTAACCAATCAGGTCAACATGTGATCGTCAACGAGTGCATCTCTGAGCTGGTGCGAGTGAGTGGAGGCAGAGATAATTTGCATATAAGATTAAGGATATTTAAGATATTGGATAATTTTTTTAGACTACAGGGGGACTTTAAACTTCTATAATTTTTTTCAGTTGACCAAATTTATCTACATTTTATTAATATAATATATAATATTTATACTGACTTATTTAACTTACTTCATATTGACTTTTAAAGGTAAATTAAGCAAGACACGACTGCTTTGCTGTCTTCTCACACCATGCCAGCTCTGTTAGACATCCAATAAATCACCCGTGCGTTAACTGGCATGGACACTTGTGCCTGGCAAGACATGAATTAAACCAAATACAGCATGGATCAGCACCACCTGTTCTCTCAGAACAACAAGCCTTAGACCTAAAACTTATCAGTTTTCATTTCAAGAACAACACTTTACATAATAACCCTCTTAAAAGGACTCTTGGGGACTTATTTGGTTTGCAATGAAAGATACTGGTGATATCCGTATCAAATCTATCTTTGAAGCAAAGATAAATCTGAATCTTTGAAATGAAGCAATATTCAGAGATTTAACATAGTGACCCTTGCTACTCATAGTCAGAAGCATACATTGAATATACATTATTATGTAATGTAGGCTATGTTTTGTATCGCATTTTATATTACAATATGCCATATCTCTTTTGTAAGTGTTTTATATGGTAGATTTCATACTTTAATTCCTTAAGATATCTGCTAAAACCATTTATACCTACTAAAAGATTACATATTTGTATTGTAATCCTACACAGCTGTTAAAAAAAAAGAATGTACAGCCTTAGCTCACAGCTATTGTAATCTGTTATTATAATAATATGAAACCACACTGTCTTAATTTCGAAATGCCACATTAAGAGACTCCCACAGCAGGAAACTATTTTTAATGAAGTCTACTTTTAGATACAGCATTACTAAAAGAAATGAGAAGTTCATTGAAAAACGTATTACTCATTTATAATGTTTACAATGTCTGTGAGAGACTTAAAAGGTTTAGAATTAAGCAAATACTTTTCCTGAGGGCAAAATGTCGTGAAATAATATGCTATTTACAAGACTTCAATAATACAATTTCTTGGAAGCAAGGGACAGCTTTTAAAATATTGATGTCGTTTTTAAAAGCATTCAGTTTGATTTGTCCTTGGCTGGTTTTTGGTAATAAAAACATATTATTCTAAGAGATATTTCTCGGATATCATAACATACACCAGGAGTTTTGAAGGCTTATTGCAGAGCAGGTTTCTGCTTGTCAGCGGCTTTGCCACCGCTTCGTCTGTGATTGAATTTGGAGCCTTTAACACCCAGAATTTTATCAGGCCATTCATAACAAACGTCTGGAATGTCCCCAAGTTCAATCTAGACTTACCATTATTGATCAAAACACATGGCACATCTGAAATTGGATTAGTCGTCTCGAAAAATATAGAACAAATATGTGCGAGCCTCGGTTTTGTGCAATCTGCTTAGTTTTCAAACAGTCGTGAGTTATTTAAAATACAAAAATCTTAAGTTTGGTAGACAAAATAATGACTCTTGTTCAGAGTCTTGTTCTTATTTGAACTCAAGTAAACCCATAGTGACTTTGATAGAAGTATAGAGTGGGAGGTTAGTTTAAAATGTGAGCTTAAAGCGCCCTCTACAGGACAGTGCATTATTTTATATTTTATGAATTTAACTTATTTCTATTATGATTTATAATATAGTGTATTTATAATAAATCATATGATGACGATGGTTATTATATTTTATGTTCATAACATACTAATTATATTATAATATTGATACTCATTTACATAATTTGGAGTTTAAAAGCTGTAATGTAATTTATATATAAATATATGAATTACTATACAATATTCTTATGATTATTTCCAACTATAATAATAATGTATTATATTAGATATTAGATTGCTTTGTTATACTATTGATGTACATTTATATTATTTGCTAAAAATTGTAATAGGCAATTGTAATAGGCATTGTTGGCTGGCAACTGATTGCATGTAATCTGGATTAGCTAATTAGATTCCAAAAAGATAGTTTGTTATTGAATTATATTACGTTTTATTATGCTCATAATAAAATTACAGTTACTTTTTAATGAATTGCATGATTATGTATTATTCACACAATGGCGGTCAATTCTTAATCATTTAATTATCTCTAGTTCTTTTTACTCTTTTAAAACTTCCTTTCGTAAAAATTCCATTGTGTCATAATGTTTAGCACTATATTCACAATATAGAATGGCCAAGTAAATACATTTGTATGAATAACAAATACATAATGTATGAATATTAATAATGTTATTAGATATTTATAAAGTTATTTATTGGTTTTATTATGGATTTATGGATTTATTTATATATTTATTTCAAGGGTAGTAAGGAAAGGCTGATCCACAAAGAAAAAAGAAGAATGAATCTTATTGGTTCTTGAAGAAGCTCAAACATGCTGCGTAACACAAGAATGAACCTCATTGGTTCTTAGCAAACATGTTTAAACTTCAATTATCCACAAAAAAATGTGAATAAAAGCGTAAATTAAATGATTATAAAGCGATTATGTGTCTTCAGAAAATTTGGACTAAATCGCTTAATTCATATTGATTAGTTTTACGATCCCTATATAAAGTTTTTTAAGCGTTAAAATGATAGCTGTGTAGCTATTTATGAGAGCTCTCAGAATTCATTAAAAATATCTTTATTTGTGTTCTGAAGATTAACGAAAGTCTTAGGCTGCGAGTTTGGACTTGGTGATGAGTAATTATTTTTGGGTGAACTCCCTTTAAATGTTCACTGACTATAATCTATTCTGAACCTTGTTTTATATAATTTCAGCAATTTGAAGAACTACCACGAGGCGGCGCGAAACACCAGAAAAACAAACAGGTCACCTCACGTGCGTTTCTTCAGTTTAAGATCATGCTTATAAAACACGTAGACAGACCCAACGGCTATCCACAACTGGGACAACTGTGCATGATATGTATTTCCCATCTGCTTTCCTCAAAACACTTCAGTGTGTGATGTCATAATTTGAAGATTATTTCCCAGGAACATTGCGAACAACACACGAGAGAAACGTGACTGGGCTGGCTCAAGTCACTCCTTCTGGGTAATCTGTACACGTGTTATCCCGTTGCCCAATGGACGCGGGAAGAGGCGGAAAATTCACTGCGTCGTCTACTCGGACTGCTCCTCAACTCAAACTTCACAGAGAGACGTAACGTGGACCCTGGACGACTGAAATTGGGGATTGTTTGCGCTTCTGGACTACTATTGACTTCATTTGACCTTAAGGATGGAATAAAAGTAACTATGGTTGTGAATTCCGTGCATTGGTTTCGTAAAGGGCTGCGGCTTCATGATAATCCGGCTTTGCAGGAAGCTCTCAATGGCGCGGATACTGTACGCTGTGTTTATATTTTGGACCCGTGGTTTGCAGGTTCTGCCATTGTGGGAGTCAACAGATGGAGGTCAGTGGCATTTGTTTTTCGTGTTTTGTGGTTATAGACAGACGTACGCTGAGTAGTTTATGTACTATTGCGAAGGGTAGGTAACTACGCAGCTCTTGTAATTTACACAGCCGCTGTTATGTTTTGGCCCTGACACGCGCCCGACCGAGTGTGCATGGTGACGGTAGCTGGTGTCGTGAAATGTTTTTGTTACGCAGAACGTGTGCTAATATCACATTTATGAACAAAAAAACAATAAAATGGCGACTTTTTATCACCGACTATGTCGTAAACGTAAATTATTCACTCGCGTAAAGGGTGAACAAACTTTACAAGTCAGCTGGATACGTCAGCTCAACTTCTCTTAGTGTGTTATTTCCATTTATACGATGAATGAATTAATCTATTATTGCGTGAAAGATATATAACTGTGGCGGTCCAGTGACAGTGCTGCTGATGATATCATACAGCTAAGTTATATGGAAGCTAACAGCTAGTCCTTTTGCTCACGCCCACTTTTGGTTTTATATAACGGCTAAAATTACAATTTCATTATGGCGTCATTGGATGTGAATGTTGTTGGTGAAGTCAAAAGCGCGCGAGTCAGAAATAAGAACGTGGGAGAGTGTAAAAAAATAATATTCCAAATGCATTAGTGCGAGTCACGTGATTTTCACGTGTGCTGCTGCCTGTTTTACTAGCATTACCATACATGCTATTTTGTTTGAATGAATAAACTACCAGCGATAAAAAAAATATTATAATTCACTTTAAGTCCGAGCGTTGTAATGAAATGAAAACTTTTGAATCCTTATTTGAAGCTTGAGTATGCAAACATACGTAATACAAAATAATAAACATGGTGCATGCTGAATCACACAGTAAGAGTTTTATTAAATGAATAAAATACTCAAATTGTTTGTTAAAAGACTCGGTAGGATTGGGGATTTTGATTGATTCATTGCAATGACTTGAATCTTTTGAATCCATTACGATGCCTATTTTAAACCAGTCGAGGCCTTAAATAGTGTGTTAGGAGTAGATGGCTTTAGTATAGAATACGAGAGATTAGTAGTACTTCTGGTGCCCAGATACAATCATCCAATGCAAATGAATTGAAGATTTGTTTGATCTTTGCTTGATGCTATTGATATTGTATTGCTCCTCTAAATTGTTTTGTTTCAGATGTTGATTGAAAAAATATACAGTATGTTTATTCTTTTGTGTTTTTGGTGTGATCTCAAGAATGCTTAAAATAACGGTCCACTTGCAAGTTGTGTATAACTTCTGAAACTAGCACTGCTTGCAAGGTCACAGCATATTAATACATAGTTTTGTAAATAATCTTTTACATTTTCTCTCCTGCAGATTTTTACTGGAATCTTTAGAAGATTTGGACACAAGTTTGAGGAAACTGAATTCAAGGCTTTTTGTCGTGCGAGGACAGCCAACCGATGTCTTTCCAAGAGTCTTTAAGGTCTGTATTTGTCAAGTTGTTTGTTTTGTATCTTTTTGACTCACTTTGGCTAATATCTAAACATTTATGTCTCATAACTTGAAACTTCGGTTAGGTTTGTCCAAGTTGTATTTGATATAATGTTGAGTATTTGAACCTCAGCTCTTTTTTAATATATTAACAGTTATGTTATTGATTGGTTATCATTAATAGGGTCTTTTGCAAGTGATGTGATAATTATTAGTGTAATATTTTAATATTAATATCAAAAATAAAATGAAATATGTGTCTTCTGCTCACCAAGGCTTTTATTTTAATTTAAACCGTAATATTGTGAAATATTATACAATTTAATATAAATGTTTTCTATTTCAATATATTTTTAAGTGTAAATTTTTCATGTAATGGCAAAGCTGAGTTTTCAGCATCGTTACTCCAGTCTTCAGTGTCACATGTTCTTTCAGAAATCATTTTAGATTTCATTCTGTATCAAGTTCTCTCACATAATTTTACACATTCAAGTCTGGGGAAGTTGAAATTATTTTCAGCCAATATAGTCAAAGCAGTTAGTGTTAAAGGGATACTTCACCTCTGGAAAGATGAATGTGTATTTAAATTGGGTCATTTATGTCGAAAAAATGTGAAATTATTTTTGAATTTGGAGCTTTCTAGACTGAGAAAAGCCATAAAATGTATTTTTGGCTTATACGGATGAAAGACAACAACTCCCAGAATGCACTTGCTTTGCTGCCCTAGGAAGGTACACCTCCCGGTAACAGAGCGCAGTATCAGAATGAATTCAGTTAGATTGAAACAAAAGCTGTGCATGTAAACAATGAATTACCAGTACCAGTTTGACTCGACTCAGCTTGCTTGTCGCTACGTTTTCCATTACAGACAGTACCGACACAAATAGTACCCGGTCGTCATAGCGACGGCTTTTGTTCCTTGTTGCCCCATCAAGCTCTCGCGGGATCCTCTTTTCGGCAACCAAACAAAGGAAAGTCTGCACCTCGTCTGACCACGGCGTATTCTTCTGAGTTGTCATAATAATAGTTGTAAGTTTAGTAACTATCTCTTGCCAAACTATTTAAAAAACGGCAGGGATATTCTGGATTCTCCATCTGGCGCGGGCAATGATGACGCAGTGAATGGTGACTATTCTCTCCGACCAATCAGCAGTCGGCATTGTTTTCACGTGACATTTTAGTATCGGCTCAGCTCGCCTTAGCTCGCTCAGAACCTCACCGGAGGTGATACAATAAAAGTACCCGAAAGCAGGTACAGGTACAACTTTTACACAGTGGAAAACCAAACAAAGGCGAGCCGAGTTGAGTCGAGCTGGTACTGTGTAGTGGAAAAGCGGAATTAGCTTCCAAAAATAAATGGCTGACACTATGTGTACATTCTGTGAGTGAGATCCCACCCTCTATCGGAGGATTTTTTTCCAGACATAAAATACATAAATCTCTTGTCTTAGGGAGATATGAGGGTAGAAAGCATGGTGATTCCAAAATACTACAGGTTTTCTACTAATACAAAGCTTAATGGTAAATCCTGAAGTATCCCTTTAAAATCCAATTTCATGAAAATCTCTTTGAAATCATTTTTCTAATCCTTATTTTCCTCATCCAGTAATCACGATATTCATTGCTTGAAAGGTGTTTCCTAAGGCAATCATCACTTTAATGTTATGCATAGTTGTCTTTAGGGGTCAATTCAAATCCATAACCTTAATGCTCGTTTCACACATACTCTTTACATTTTCCATACCCATGTTAACAGGTTAGAGCTTTCACACTGCATGCGGATGCAGCCTGTAGATCCATTCCAGTTGCGGTGCTTGTACAGCAGTGCAGAGATCGTTTCCTCACCGAGTCTATTTCTGCTCTGCTGTAAACGTCGAATGAAAGTCACAGCGCACGGTTTGTGGTCAAAATGAACACAGATTGACCAGGAAATGTAGTAGTTTCACCATAAATGCATTTCATTATATAAAATGTAATAATCTCACCATAAGTGTATTTAATTAAATATTAGCCTACTTTTCCTCTTTTTACTTTAAGACCGGGGTTTTAAGCAAGGAAAACAATTTACCTCAACAAGGACTTAATGAACGACACTCGTCTCATTTGTGGCGGTAGAAAAAGTTCTTTGTGACGTGCAAGATTTATCGTATTAAAATAATAATATTAAATTTATTGTGATAAAATAATAATATTAAATGCAAAAGAAAAGGCACAAGAGTCAGCTTTTTTTGGTCAATTTTAAGTTTTTATTTAAAATGTTTGCGATTTTAGTATAAATACATGGTTAAATATTTGACTACATGCTTGAGCCACTTAATATGTATAGAAGTAATGCATGGAATTATATGCCTACGTTGTTTAAATTGTGTTTAAACGTGCATACGTCCATTCAAGTTTGTAAAAGAGAATCACAATGCTGACAACTATTTTAATGAAAGTTGCTGCATAACTTCTGAATTTGAAATAAAAATAGTGAGTATGTGTTTGTGGTACAGCCGCGGATCAGTTACGCACTGCAAACGCAGCATATGTGAAAGCACTTTAGCCTATGCTGCTCCTGCAACACGCACCGCATACGCACTGGACACGGAGTATGTGTGAAACGGGCGTACGTATTAAAGTTTGGCGCCCTCCCACAGCTTCTAAATTTCACACGCCCTCCCACAGCTTCTAAAGATCACATTTTCATGCAGTCGGAGCAGTCTTCTCTCAATTTCAATTCAATTCAAAGGGGCTTCTCTCTCTCTCTCTCACGACAATGCTTCATTCAGACTTTGGCAAGTGGGTTGTGTGAACCCTTTGGCAGGTTAATAGTGCTGTGTTTATGCAAGGGGGTGAGGGCACTGGCACATCAGCCATTTAAAATGAGTTTGTATAACCTAGATGTCACAGAATGAGCTATTGTTTACTTCAGAATAACTGAAGAGCACAGTGGCCATGTGTGAAGTTTAAATTGACATTACTCTTAAGGGCTCACCTTTTTAAGCCTTATTTGGTAATCAAACACTAAATGATTATATCACCGGATGTACTTGAAAGCAGCAGCTGGTTAATGATGTTAACTTGAGGCTGTCATTGACCTCACTTAACCTTATGTAACACTTTTTTATGCTGCTTTTGACAAATACTGCTAGTAATAATTTTTTAAAGATACTACATGTTGATGTTGTATTTACTTTGACCATTTGTGTCATTATTTAACGTATATCGGATCTGTCTCTTTCAGGAGTGGAATGTCACAAGGCTCACGTTTGAATATGACTCTGAGCCTTATGGGAAAGAAAGAGATGCAGCCATCATTAAAATGGCGCATGAATATGGTGTGGAAACCGTGGTACGAAACATTCACACGCTCTACAATCCAGACAGGTGGGTGATGAACTGCTCTCGCACACATTCCTCAGGGAAAACTGACACATGCTGTTGTTCCCTCACAAACTTAACAAAGTTTGGTTTTGTAAAGAAATTCATTCATAGGCTTAATGTATATTTTGCTCTTAAATTGTCTTAAATATTAAATTCGTTCAAGTATGTCCATTTTTGATGGGTAGTGTATTAACAATATTTTTATAATTAATTGTTTTAATTTTTTGTGCCTGTTTTACTACCTTGTATTGTAATATGTAATCATTTATTCCTGATGGCAGAGCTGAATTTTTATTGTCACTACTCCAGTCTTTAGTGTCACGTGGTCCTTTTAATACAATTAATCGGCAAAAGCGATGAATTGGACGACCTCTACTGATTATATCAGTCAAAAGACGGTGAAAAAAAATGTGTCAGTACTGTGTTATGAAGAAAACCCATATGTTGAATTTAGAGCCATTGAAGTGAAAGAGACATTAACAGTTTTAAAAAAGCGACGTTAAAGCAGGCTCTATTTGACCCTATGAATTTCAAGTCGGGGTTGTAAGATCAGCGTTTTTTCCCCACACCAAATGTTTTTTGTTGCGCCTCCCATCCGATAATTACAAAGAGCTTTGTTATTTCTGGTAAGAAGCAAAGTCTTAGTTTTCAAATTCCATTTTATCATAAAATTCAAATAATACGTGCAGTTTAGTGGACAATTGTGTGTAAATTTGCAGTTGTAATAAAGAGATATTGATATTTTTGGCAACAAAAGAAGGGGGAGGGGTTAATTACATTTATAGTTGTGTAATATGCAGCTATTATTGCCCATTTTGTATGCAGAAAAGCTGAGCGTAAGTGGAAACGAGACAAGCTTGAAGTCTCTTATGACATCTTAATGGAGTCCTTAACAAACTATCAGAGAGCAGTAGCTAAAGGAAAGGAGGTTTTGTTCAATACAATTGATTCTGTTTTAAACCCAACCAAAAATACTGTTTTAGACGTTACCCAAGAAAACTGTGAAACATTTTTATACTCCTTTACAAAATTAAATGGATTAAATGTGGAATTGTACCTACTCCTTTTAATCAATCATTAATTCCTCCCCTATCCAGCTCTCGGACTCACTTTGAACCAGTTACACCAGAACAACTAGCAGAAGTAGTCTCCAAAATGGTGTAGTCTCCAAAAAAAGTGCTCCTGGTTCAAGCTGTACATTCTTTCTCCACGCCTTTTTAAAGTAGTCTTTATGACTATCAGTTTCAGTGTGACGCTATAATTAACAGCTCATTAGCAAGTTGAGTTGTGCCAAGCAGATTTAAACACAATTTTACATTTAAAAAAAAACACTTTTCTACAGGCCGATCTCCAAACTGGCAGGCCGATATTATCGGCCGATATTTGGCATTTTCTAAAATATCGGTATCAGCAGGTATAATAGCCGATAAATGAATATTTAAAAAATAAAATAAAAACGGACGAATCACGCTTCAACCTTGTCGTGAGTGTTGTCAAAAATAACTGTAATTATAAGGTAGCTTATAACTATAAGGCAATTTAGGGACTAATTATTATTTATCAGAACTTTATATTTTGATGTTCATTAAAATATTTTGATGTTCCTCTGTTCTGTTGTGACAATAGAACCAAGTTTCTTTTTAAAATGCATTATCATATTATTTTAGTTAAAACTCTAAAAAACATTAGTATAACTACAAATAACTAATGTTAGGGAAGTCTGTTAATATTTTGTTGCGCGTTTCTGAAATAAGAATAATAATAATATCGTCCGATTATATCGGAATGTCGGATTTTGAAACCAACAAATATTTGTATCGGTATCGGCCTTCAAAATCATTTATCGGTCTGGCTCTATTACATGGGTCACCAAACTAAGGCCCGTGGGCCGAATCAGGCCCGCCACACCCCTTTGACTGGCCCCCCAACCCCTCTGCCCCCCACTACTTGAACCGGCAATCCCCAAAAGTCGTCATGGCCTATTTTTTTAAATTGCTTTTTGGAAAATAATAACATGTCTGCATTTGGTATTTTGTTGTTTACTGAGCATGCTCACCTGGATAGGCATAAGAGCTGACTAGTTCTATTACTCATGTTGTTGTTATAATTTCAATGTTTATTTATTTATTTTATAGGCCTATTTATTTGACCTTTATTAAGTGCTGTACACAATTATTATAAATAGTAACAGGCCTACCTATAATTTATAATTTTTCATTCATCCTTACCAGTGCCACTCACCTCAACTAGGCAGATGTTTCTTACCTTGACAGGTTTGATGTTATTTGTATTCGAAAATAAATAAATGGAAAATCTGTGGTATTTCAAATTAAAACAAAGTGTGAAGACTCGATTACTACTTTTGCAAACAACTATTAATGATAAACAAATATGGCTGTGCCAGGCTAGTAATCTCTACTATGAGGCCTGCTGGTGGTCAGTTTGGTCTTTGTCACACAATTCTATTTTATATAGCCCCGGCCCCCCATCACAGTCAGGAACGATAATGTGGCCCCCAGAGAAAAAAGTTTGGTGACCCCTGCTTTTAGATACATTTTAGTCTGGTTTCAAATGTTTGCACAGCACTGAATCTGCATTATTGAACATCACCAATGATATTTTACTCTCCATGGACTCAGGTTCACCTGTTGTCCTACTTGTAGATCTCAGTGATGCATTTGATACAATTGACCATAATATTCTAGATGGTTTAGAATGTATGGTGGGCATCCAGGGGACGACCCTCCAGTGTTTTTCCTCCTATCAAAAAGGAAAAACAGTCTGTTAATTTAGGCAAGTTCTCTTCTACATCAGCTCAGCTAAAACGTGGTGTCCCTCAAGGGTTAATTTTAGGACCCTTGTGATTTTTTTACTGTAGATGTTTCCCCATAGATTTATTTTTCAGAAATACAGCATATCTTACCACTGTTATGCCGACGATTCCAAATGTTATTTTTCAGGGTATGTAGAGAAGAACTGTTCAGTAGAAAATGCCTTAAATTGCTTTAAAGATATTAAACATTGGCTGGCAAATAAATTCTAACAATGAAATGAGAGCAAAACCGAAGTCTTCATCTTAGGTTCTTCTTTCTCTTGCTTACCTGGCTTAGTTGCCCTGTTGTTGTCAAACGTACAAGATCATGTGAGGAATCTTGGAGTCATTATCTCTTTATTGATTTACTTTTCTCAGTGCTATTGATGAGTAGTTTTTATCATCTGAGATTGTTCGCTAAGATTAAACATTTTCTTTCCCATACTTACTTAAATTGTTATCCACTCACTTATTTCATCAAGGTTAGACTATTGCAACTTAATGTAAATTGGTCTGCCCCAAATTATTTTATCCTGTCTTCAGCTTGTCCAAAACGCAGCAGCCGGCATGTTCACATTCCCTAATCATTGACTAGATTACTCAGTAAACTTTGCCAGCACTTGTGATTTCACAAATGTGATTCACATAATGTGACATAATGATGAACTTTGCGGCACTGTGACTCTGGTCTGCACTTCTGTTCATGTGCAACTCACAATCTCTTATCCTTTTCCTGAGTGTATTACCAAACATGAGTTTGACTCTCCCCTTCTCAGATTACCGTGCAGATAAAACTACTCCTGATGTGTAATGTAAAACAAGTGTCCTTTTGCATAGATTACATAAATGTATTATATGCCCAGAATCTCTCATTCAGAGGGGAAGAGAATGAGCTTGCATCCATAAGCGTGTGTGAATGCATGTGCGGGTGCGAGTGTGACGTCAATCTCTAGTTCAGACAGAAGAAATGAGACTCTACTGCCATCTGGTGACTGAAAGCGGCCCTGACGGTCACACTGAGAAACATGTGCTGTGGGTTGGAGGGAGGGTAAAATAGCTCAGCATGCAAGTCACCACTGCAAACATGTGCGAGGGAGCGCCTGGCTTTTCCTAACAAACACGCGGGTGCCCCTTGATTCTGCACCGTGCCGAGAGAACCGGCCAATGGCAGGGCTCCACCCCTGTTGGATATAGACGGTTGTATAAGATCAGGACTATTAATAAGGGACAGGCTGTTAATGTGTTAAGACTGTTGTTTCTCATTAAGAGGGCAGACTGAGACTGTTGGTTCTTTTCAGAACCAGCCTGGGACTTGTGTGCGTGCATTTGGAGAATGTGGGAAAGTGTGTCTGGACACGCTGCCAGCCACTCTTTCCTATTTGATTGAATATGACCTTACTTTAGTGACCTTGTTTCCTAAAGAATAAAACTGAGCTTTTTATGGAGTGCCACCTCAGGTTGTTTGAAACTGATTGGTGTAGTTGAATGAGCTATAAGTGAAATGTCCTACAAACAAGCATGGTTCTGTTAACGTCGATCAGGTTTTTTCCTGTACTGATCCCAATACATAGTGTTTTTAATATTTATTTTTAAATATTTGGGTGCATTTAATTAATGTGCACATAAATGTTTGGTTTTAATTTATGCGTGTAATCACCAAGGCTGCATTTATTTGATTAAAAAATACAGTAAAACACTTTATTATTAAATATAAAATGATGTAATTACACTTTAAAATAACTGTTTTTAATATATTGTACATTTTACTTGCATTCCTGTGATTGCAATGCTGAATTTTCAGCGTCAATACTCGTCTTCAGTGTCGCATGATCTTTCAGAAATAATTTTAATGTTTCCTGCTCAAGAACTTTCTTATTATGGATAAATAGTTGTGCTTTTTTTTTTTTTTTTTTTCAGGATTCTTTGTTGAATAGAAATTCAAAAGTACAGCATCTGTAACATTATGAATGTCTTTTGATCAAAAATGTTTTTAATTTTGTGTTATTGTGATACACTAATGTAAATCAAATTGGGCCTGTGACATCAACTGGCTCAAAACACTTTTTCGCATTTATTGTTGAGCCTTATGATGCCTTTGAAAATTATTTATTTCTACACTAAACTTTTGACAGCCAGTCAACAAGATCAAATCAAACTAGCTTAAAACAAAGACCTTTCCCTTTCTGAGTTCTATTAATATTCAACCTTTGAGAGAAAATAACTGCTTATAGACCGTGAAATCAGAGACATGTTTTTGGTTTCCCCTCAGGATCATAGAAATGAACAACCACAGCCCCCCTCTCACTTTCAAGAGGTTTCAAGCCATTGTGAACAGACTTGAACTTCCCAGGAAACCGCTGCCGACTGTCACTCAAGAGCAGATGGACAGATGTCGGACGCAGATCGCGGATAACCACGATGAACGATATGGCGTGCCCTCTCTTGAGGAGCTGGGTTTTAAGACTCAGGGTGACGCCACACATGTATGGAAGGGTGGTGAGACAGAAGCCATGGAAAGATTAAATAAACATTTAGACAGAAAGGTAAGACATGGAGATACCTCATGGAGTTACACGATTTAATAATGACTAATAAACAAGAAATGCAGCTGTTGAATTGGTTTATATGTGTATATATATATATATATATATATATATATATATTACTCAATTATATTTCTAGAAAGGAATAATTAATAAATGGTTGTATAATATTACCCATTAAAAAAAATTTTTTTTTTGTTTGTTTTTTAAATGTTTTTATATTGGTTGTTATATTTTGATTTAATCTCTTTTTGTGTTGATGCAGGCCTGGGTAGCGAATTTCGAGAGGCCCAGAATAACGGCTCAATCACTGTTCGCCAGCCCAACTGGACTTAGTCCTTACCTGCGATTTGGCTGTCTGTCATGTCGTGTTTTTTACTACAATCTGCGTGAACTTTATATAAAGGTAAGTAATTGTTATTTTATGACATTGTTGGTAGTCATCCAGAGAAGTGCAAGTGTAATAGTTTAATAATGAGTGGTAGATGGCATACAAATAATGAAAGTGGAAGTTCAATTTGAATAATAATTAAACTTGCTAAATTAATACATGCATTTAACTTAAATAATAAAGGGACCCAAAATCAAGCCTTGGGGTACACCACAAGAAAACGTGTATTAAATATTCACTACCAGCTAAACTTTTGGGCACATTTGACTGAATTTATATTTCCCATAATCTTAATAAACCTTTTGATCTGAAGGCTTATGTTGAAATGTTTGAATTTAATTTTAGAGATGAATATGAATTGTATACATTTTAATTTATTAACAAAAACCATGGTGATGCCAAAGCAGCCATCAAGTGCTCCTTCATTACTCATTAAGAAGTGTCCCAGGTGGATACCTCATGAAGTTATTTGTGTTGTGTTAATTCAAAATGTGGCATCAATGATAAAGTATGAGAATTAATTATTGGTGTTTCCTTTTTGAGTATACATGTATGGTCATAAAAGACATACTGTAAAACTACGGCATAGTAAAACAGATTTCACAACCATTTTCATGACCTTTTGCACTTTTCCAGCTGCGGAGACGGTCTAGTCCACCCCTTTCGCTTTTCGGCCAGCTCCTGTGGCGAGAGTTTTTCTACACAGCGGGCACCAACAACCCCAACTTTGACCGAATGGAGGGAAACCCCATCTGCGTACAGATTCCCTGGGATCACAACCCCGAGGCACTGGCTAAATGGGCTGAAGGTCGGACAGGGTTCCCTTGGATCGATGCCATCATGACCCAGCTAAGACGGGAGGGCTGGATCCACCACCTGGCCCGGCATGCCGTAGCCTGTTTCCTCACTCGAGGAGACCTGTGGATGAGCTGGGAAAGCGGAATGAAAGTAAATAAGATGGTGCAACTTCCCCTTTCTTCCTTTTTATTCTTTTTCTCTCCTAATCTAACTCTTTCTATCTTTAAGGTGTTTGAGGAGTTGTTGTTGGATGCCGATTGGAGCGTGAACGCAGGCAGCTGGATGTGGCTCTCCTGCAGTGCGTTCTTTCAGCAATTCTTTCACTGTTACTGTCCCGTGGGGTTTGGCCGCAGGACGGATCCCACCGGAGAGTACATCAGGTAAACACACCAGCCCTTAACCACAGTAAGACAGCACGTCTTACATCACTAGCAGGTGTTATCTATTCAGAGTTTTGTAGATTTGTTGCATAAAGGCTTATGTAAACCACCTCAGGTTCAGATCCCTCCACTGTGCTTTCAAAAGAGCTGCTATAAAATTTTGTATTGTATTGTATTAAGCTCCTGCATTGGGTATGGGTTTACATCCCATCCCTGTGCGTTGAGCCGACCAGATGAACCAGTTCTTTCCAGTGCTGGCGATCTTGTGCCAGCTGCTCTTCATCCTCCATAGCGACTCCGAATTTTGCTCCAATGCTTTAACTCCGATGCTTTTTATGCTAATTTGTCTTTTGTAATAAAAAAAATGTGTATAATTTAAAGAAAGATATTTTGCCATTATTTGTAAGTGTCTGTTATAAAACCATCAATACATTCTCACATGCAGGAGGTACATCCCGAAGTTGAAAGACTATCCTAACCGCTACATCTACGAGCCATGGAACGCTCCAGAATCGGTGCAGAAAGCGGCCAACTGCATTGTGGGTGTGGACTATCCTAAACCAATGATCAATCATGCCGAGAGCAGCCGGCTTAACATCGAACGAATGAAACAAGTTTACCAGCAGCTGTCACACTACAGAGGCCTTAGTGAGTAACACACAGTGGATCTATCAAACACAACGGTTTATTACAGCCCTCTAATGGAGGAAACAGGAAATTACAGCATTTGTCACCAACAAAAAATTGTTCTTATGATATTAAGAGCTTGTATAAGGGGATATTTAAGCATGAGAAAAGGCTATAAATCTCCACCTCCAGCATCCTCAACACGCAATATAGCCGACTAGCTCCTTCTTTATGTGTACAGATGTGATGTGACAAAGACATGCTCGAATCTCCCGTGGAAATCCGCCAGTATTATTACAAGCTTCCCGCTTTGAATCAAGCTATGGCAAGCAGATGGTTTTGAACACTGGCTGGTTATGTATTTTCTCAAATATGTATTTTGGATAATTTTTAACCCTAAAAAATCTACAAACTGCAGCTTTAAGGTCAGGATCACACAAAAGGGGAAAATTGGCCTTGCACAAGTCTATTAGTTATGTATGCATATAATGGATTTGAAACTTGGAGTGCAGAGGTCTGATCATGCTTGCCCACACAATATGGAAAATAGTACATTTGCATTAGCTCAAGATTGTCATTTATTGAATTTTAAATGCATGCAAATGATTCAATACTTTGAGAAAACTTTTCAAAGCTGTCATTTAACAGATAATACATGATATCTGGGCCACTGTACTGATTGCTAATTTTAGAGGATTTTTTAATGAACATTGCAATGTCAGAATAAAAAAACAACCTGTGTATGTTTAGTTAAGACTAAAAAGACTTCAGTTAAGACTATAGTGGTGTTAAGATTAAAAGAGCTCTCACCATAGAAGTTTTGAATTAAAAATACAGCTAGTTACAGCATTTTACTAAAGGATAAAATAGAAAAGTATGTCGGTACATTTTATGCTGCTTTTTTTTTGGCAGACGCATTTATCCAAAGCGACTTAACATTGCATTTCATTATATCTGTATGATATTTGTTGTGCAGTTGTGGATGACGACTTTATCGGCATTTGCAAAAATTTGTAACCATGGCTTTTTTTGTGCGACAGGTTTGCTCGCCTCAGTACCTACAATCCAGGAAGAGGCGGAGCCTCCCATGTCAGATGACTCTCAGGCCAGCAGCAGCACTGCCGGTGAGACGCGTCAATCATCAGACTAACATGATTCATTGTGCAGCTTTCTTTTCTTTCAGCTAGGCTATGTTTTTCTCTCTGTGACTACACTCCCTGTTCGCACATAAGAATGTGAATTTACTAATCCAAAGAAGCAATCTTCGCCCTTATTGTTAATAACTAATCATACCATTGCTACTATGACCAGACATAAAATTGTTCTTGTCAGGACAGTACTTTTTCTGAAGCTGCATGTTTTCTACAGGTCAAGGCTCCACGCCTCCTCCCTCAACCCCACCCAACTCTGAGCCCTCCAGCCCGACAGCGGCTGCCCCCGGCACCCACATCCAGAGGAAGAGGGGTCTACCCTTTGAGCTCACAAGCAAACAGAAGTCAAAAGTCAAGCACGCCAACCAAGCCAAAGGAGTCGAGCTGAAGATTGATGAAAAGCAGTGACCACAGGTATAAAACCCACAGTGTTTGTGCATTTAAGTTACCAGCCATTCAGATTTTTCTACTTGCCAAAATTATCAGAAATTAACAAACCAGATTAACGAAGTCACATCTTACACTTATATATATGATTCTGAATCATTGTATTATTTCTTTATATGAAGCATATTTATTGAAGCCACAAAAACAAACCTGTTACTGACTAATTGTATTTGTCCAAAATTATTGTATTTTAATTGAAAACTATGTGAGTGGTGCTGTATGATTAAGCGTATTCAGAGGTAAACAACCCACAGTGATGATGATCATTAATTTTATTTCTGGTCGTCTTCAGGTTAAGACTTCATTTGCGGACTCGGAGGAGTCTACCTTCCCGGACTATCCAACAGACAGAAACGGCAGGAGTCTAGTGAGAAATGGTGCCACCTTTCGCGGAAGAACAGAAACGGCACTAATAAAAAAAAAATAACAACAAAAGATTGAACCGTTCCGTCAAGGCGTGTTATACTGTAGATCCATCTTTCATAAACAGCTGCTTTTGACCTGCTAAACTAAACATGATTGTATGAAGAGACAGATAGATGTTTAGTTCTCCCTTCAGTTCGCCATTGAGAGTAATGAACGATTCGCCGAAATAAGTATTCATGAAGTTATCTAGCCAAAATGTATGCAACTCGGATTAATGGCATGTAATAAAAATGACGAGGGGAACATTTGAAGACAAAGGCTGCAGTGTTCTGACAACATCAATTGAGAATTGTAATTCTTGTATGAAGTCTGATATAGTTGAACTCTATAACTGCAAGCTTCAAGCAACTAGTTCGCACAAGCAATTAAGAAGTTTACTACGGTTTCGGTAATTTCTCCATTTAAATATACGCTTTGTGTATGTAATGCAAACATTTCGTTGCCACTGGCTGCACTAAAGTTTTCTGAATTTAACAGAATCCATCCTCATATTAATTCAATAAGCTTGATTTATTTACCAGCTCATTCATTTTAACGTTTGCAGGTTTTCTAAAAGTTAGAAACAAATAATTGTACATTCCACTAAATGTATTCATTCACTATAATTTAACAATTTAACATGTTTCCTCTGCAAGGTGGAACAGCTTTATTTATTTTTCCTCCCTTTTTTTCTTTTTTGTATTGTATAAAAGAGTTTATTTTCATTAAAAGGCTGATGGGATTAAGCTGTTCTGTTTGTAGGCAGTAATTTATTTAAGCCTTTTCACTGCATGCTTCTGTCAGCGACAACTTGTCTGCGATATATTGCATCTACAATGTTTTACTGTAGACTACAATATATCAAATAAATTTCTTGAATCTATTTGAAACTCGTTTGACTTTATTCTTCAACCTGAAAACTTTTATCATATTACACATCCTACAGCCTTTGTTTTACAAACATGAATGAAATCTCATGCATCTTGTAAAAAATCACTTCTTTTGAATATTTTTGCCTGGTGGACGTTACAGCAGCAGACATTGAAAGAGGGACGTGAGACATATTTGGGTATCAGAATATCACACACACTTGTGTGAGGGATCTTTTGACTTGGGTCAGTCCACCAAGAACGCCTTAGCACCATACTTAAACACCCACAACAACATGTTTACTAAAACATAGTGATAGAGACTCCTGCACCTTTTTGAGAAGGACTTAAATCACCACTAGAGGGCGTCTTCACATTGTGCGTGTGTATGTGTATATGTATGCCCAATTGCATTTATGCACAGGCCTGCTCATTTGCATTAGGTGATTGAAATTGATCATATTGAATGAAAGAGGTATTTATATAGCGCTTTCATATGTACTACTGTACACCCAAAGCACTTTACAATAATATCAGGGGATCTCTCCTCAACCACCATCAGTTTGCTGCATCCACATGGATGATGCGATGGCAGCCACGTTTTGTTTTTTTTTTGGTAGCAAGTATCTTTCACGCTCTATGGCAGGCAGGGTGGACATATAATTACTTGACATCTTTTATATAAGTGATTTCTTAAGTTATTTACTCCTGGCGGCTGTGTACGGACGTTGGTTTTTGCCGTTATTTTGTATTGAAGCCTATGGGGAGGAGTTGGTTCTCACTGTGGAACATGAAATTCATGGGGAGGAGTCGGATCCAGATCCAACTCCGCCCCCTGATCCCTAAACCCAACCCTAATCCTACCCATCCCCACCTCCTTGGATCGTGATCCGACTCCTCCCCGTGGATCTCATGTACTGCATTCATTGAGGTGCTGCTGATGAGGAGTCTAGTTTGTTTTCCCCCAAAAAAGGGGGCGGGGACAAAATTGACAGTTAAATTCCATGATGTGCCGATTGTGCGTATATAATAAAATTTAAAAAGCCAGTTCATGACCCCTTTAAATATATTTTAGTGGTTAGTTTTTTTATATATAGTTTGTTTTCATGTTGGCTTTTTATTTTTTATAATAGTTTGTTTTAAAATATTTTAGTTTTCATTCTATTCATCTTTAGTTTTGTTTTGTTTTTTGTTCTTGGCTTCGTTTCATTGTTGTTGTTTTTTTCTTAGTTTTGTTCTGTTTTGCTGTCCTGTTTTTTGTTTGTTTTTTTGTGTCTGTGTGTTTTGTTTCTTCGTTTGGTCTGTTTTTCTTCTCTTTGTTCTTTTTTTTTTTGTTGTTGTTTTATTTGTTTTGGTTTCTGTTTTTCCCCTCTTTTTGTGTTCGGTTTAGTGTTTGTTTGTTTTTTTTTTTTTTTGTTTTTTTTTAAAGTCACAGATACATCACCAGTATGATAGTTTTATTATTATTATTTTCTGTGAATATCTTTGATTTTTCTCATCGTTATTAAAACATGCCCCATCAGTGGACATCTGAGTAAACTGAGCAGCATCCAGCAGTGTGCTGGTGTTGTAATGCAATGGAGCTGCTGTATGCTGAGCTGATGTGAATGGTGTCCTGTGGGAGCTGTGCTAATGAAGAAAGAGCTCTCAGCTCCTGTCCAGGTCAGCTAATGTACTCTTATACATCATAATGACCACAGAGCCTCTTATTGTTGCCCCTTCCTTTCTTCGTCCTCCATCTTCTGCCGAGTCCCACAATGAAACGGATCTCCTGCAAGTCGTGTAATCTTCGTTCGCACAATGTAAAATAAGATGACGCAGGTTTGACCCATCAATAACGTGCTGACTATTCTATTAAAGAAACCATGAAGATCTAGATCTTCTTAACAGGGTTTGGGAGTTGTTACTAATGAACTTTAATGATACAATATATATCTCAGACAGCCTTCCAGATATTTTTATCTGTTATCAATGCCATCGATTCCCAGCATGCATCTCCAGTCCCGATGTCGGCCTGCACTTGTATGGAGGTGGCAACTTGAGCCGCATTGATCTGGACCATCAATCACTGGTGTGGCAGACCCTTTTAGAGGAGACTACGCCTCTCTCTCTCTCTCTCTCTCTCTCTCTCTCTCTCAGTTATCCGCCACTGACTTTAATGGCTCCATTGAAGGACACACGCAGAGCAGAGAAAGGACTGTCAGGGGTGTGCAGTATGATGTTTTCCAGGGGATGTGAGGACAGGCACTACAGCTTCCCGTGGCTGATGTAACCCCCCCCCTGAGGACCCTCGCTGGAGACGTTTCTGTGTGGAGTGCTGGACGGGAGGTTGAGAAAGAAAGTGGCATAATTGTCGGCTCCATCGATTTCCCCCTAAGAAGGGTCCAGTGGCACCCCGCCCTGCCCCGCAGATGGTGCTCAGCCTGGCCATGGACTCCAGAGAGGATGGGGACAGCTGGATGGAGGAACAGTGGGAGAAATGGTACAGTAGTGATGGGGCCTTTTACAGTGCACTTATCTGACCTAGGATCAGCTTGTGTGCTCTGATATGGGCCAGAATGTTAGTTTGGTGTCCATTGCAGGACAATTAATGTAAGGGTTATGGATATGAAGGTTTTTGTAATTTAATATGCGTGTATAATATTTCTAACCTAAAATTAGGCTTGATTTGAGTGTTTTACATGGTACAAAATCATACAAATAACTCAACTGTGGTGTGCAAAACGACATTAATAGTTCTAGGTTTTTTCGCTCGACTGAATTTATCATGAACAATTATCTTGTTCATCTTGTTATCTGTTATGAAATGTGGGCGGCTGCACAATTGCAGGTATAAAGGAAGTGTTGAGAAGTTAGTATGTCTGAAAGCTTTTTAAAGCTTCATTTATCGGCAAATGGCTAAAAGATTTTGCTAGCTTGCAGACTGAGGTAAGGACACTTAACAGCTGCTTTCTAAACATTATAGACTGAATAAGAAAGTAACTGTTATTGCTTAAGGAAGTTTATATGATGTGTTAAACAAACAGCAGAAATGTGTTTTTGCTAATGCTTTCTTACAGATTTCCATTGCACGTTTATAATAATTCTGAATATACTGTATATAGGCTATATACAGTATATATGTGTGTGTGCGTGCTCCTGGTATTCCCCTGTCCCCACAATGTTACCTTACGGTAAAAATAACATATAACATTTATTGGTCCGCATGAGGAAAACAGCTTATAAAGCGTAATAAATGAAGTGTTTTGAAAATGTAAAAATGCATTGGGGGTAGGGTGGGATTAGAATATACAGTTTGTATAGTATAAAACTATACGAAGTCCCCATAAAACATGGAAACCAATGTTTGTGTGTGTATATATAGCACTGCAGTATTCCTGAAGTTATCTGATCATCCGGTGAGCCCTGCCCTCTGATTGTCTAGCAATAGTCTCATAGTGGAGGAATGACGTAGTGTGTGTCACTGTGTATGTGGGTGTGCTGCCACTTTTCAGGTTAACGCATGACATCAGTCTGAATGAATACGAGGATGATGACCTGTCAGAAGTAACAGAAATCACGGATGAGAACGGAATCACTCTCAACCACCTCGACCTCGACCCTAAAGTAAGTCTGTAGCCTACACCCTCAAATTACAAACAGTTTTCATATAAGCTGTCCTTTTTAGGGAAAACCATATAGACCAACATATTAATATATTTTATTTAGGTTATTTATATTTATCAACATATTTTTTTCTTTAATGTATGTATAGCCTATTTATTCAAAATTATAATATATGTAATTTTCACTTTTTTACTAATTTATTTCACATTGAAACAATGTATTTATTTTAAAACTTTGCCTACATCTAGTTTGTAGAGTCAGTTACTCTGGTTGTTGGAGGTGCGCCAAACATAAGATTCATCAACATCTGAGTCTGAAGCTAATCTCCTTACAGCTCACTAGTACAAGACTAGTTCAGTAATCAAACATGGCACTTAACTTTAGACTGTTCCTGCATTAAAGGAGTAGTTCACTTTTTTTTAAAAAAGATAAAACTTTTGCCGATAATTTACTCACCCCAATGTCATCCAAGATATCCATGTCATTCTTTCTTCAGTCGAAAAGAAATTAAGTTTTTTTTTAAAAAACATTCCAGGATTTTTCTCCATATAATGGACTTCAATGGGAACCAAACAGTTCAAGGTCCAAAAGACACTTTCAGTACAAACTGCAAACTGTTGAAAGGGCTTTAAACGATTCCAGACGATGAATAAGGGTCTTATCAAGTGAAACGATCGCTCATTAAAAAAAAAAAAAAAGTTTAAGTTTTATAAGCTCAAATGCTCGCCTTGCTCTGTTCTGTGATGCGTGTTCGTGACTCTCCTGTTCGAACTCGTTCATCAAAATGAACAATTAATTTTTCGTGTCATTCGGTTGAATCAGCGAACGAAATGAACGAATTGACTCGTAAAAAGATTCGTTCATTTTGATAAGTTTAAAACTTAAACTTTTTTTTTTAAATGATCGATCGTTTTGCTTGATAAAACCCTTATTCATCGTCTGGAATCGTTTAAAGCCCTTTGCACTGAAACTTTCTGAAACTTTCTGAAACTGTCAAAATCTGAAACTGTCAAAAACCTTAATTTCTTTTCGACTGAAGAAAAAAATGACATGGATATCTTGGATGACATTGGTGTGAGTAAATTATCAGCAAAAGTTTTTTTTTAAAGTGAACTATTCCTTTAAGAATTTACTGCAAATGAAATGTAACTGTATGAAATGAAGTTTCACAGTAGCCTAGCTATTTACTGTGTTGAGCGATTTCCCGATTTTAATCGATTTTCATTTTTGATTGACAAAACTGTAACCCCATGCACATCCAATATACAGCGCAATTAGTTTGTGCTTTGTTGCTATTAACATACAAAAAGTCTCAGCTTTCAAATTCGATCAATTTTATTACGAAATTCAAATGTTAAATACCGTTTTGGCGCTCTGTTATGAGGAATGACAGATCGCCTCAAGTTCCGCACGGGAACTGAATCTCTTCTTCTTAACTAACGTTACTGTTTTTCAGCACAAAATAAATATGGATGAACATCAGAAGGTATGTTGAAAAAGATATAGTAGGGCCTACAATTTACCGAAATTCTTCATGTCTCAAATAATAGCTTGTAAACATTTTCACAGCCTATGTGTAAGCTATAACATTACCTCAGAAAAGACATTCAATATCCATGAGCTCCTACAGCTAGACAAATAAACTCAAGAGAGGAGCATTTTGCTAAATATTTGCACTATATTGCATATTCATTGTATTTTTTTAACTGTCTTCAATATTTAATGTATGTTTGAATAAATCCGTCATGTTTTTATGACGTGGACCATTTCAATGTGTAGGTCTGTAATTCACTGTAATTTGCATACAAGCCCATATAAATCAGTTAACCATGCTTTTCTAGAATATTTGACATGATAGCCTGCATTAATCGAATCAAATCGAAATCAGAATTGAATCTAAGCGCAAGTTTGTGAATAGATATCGAATCCAATCTGAAATTTGTGTCAATACCCAGCCCTATGGATTCTAAATGTAAGGATTGTAGTAACCATCATGTACATTTTCAAATAGATAACAGATATATCACTGGTTTAATTAGCTGATGTGATTTTATTTATTAAACCCTTTAAGTATTTTACATTTAAAGGATGACACATTACATGGACAAATATTGCCTTTGAAAAAAGTGAATACAAAAAAAAAAATTATTTATTTGTTCACCCTCATGTCGTTTTAAAACTGTATCTTGTGTTAATATAGCTGACTGTATTACTATATTGAAAACAAAAGAAGGTGTTAGGCAGACATTAGTTACCATTAGCTTTTAGTGTTTAAAAAATGAGCAGTTTGGACATTTAGCAATGTTCTGTAACAAAAGCTTACAGGTTTGAAAAGACATTAGGGTGAGTAAATGATGACCAAAACTCACTTATTCATGATCTAGGCTAACCCCATTGCTTAATTAAAATGTCAAAGATTGTCTGTAACTAAATAGTATGATTAGTGTTAGTAATCACAGTAATCTTAATTCAAAAACAGTAGACGTCAACAGACAGTCCCCACCGCCAAGTAAAATGTATGGTTTATATCTCTCCACCCTAAAACCAAACAGTCACTTATCTTTCCATGAGACACAGTCATGCGGTCTCAAGCTGAATGAGGAATCATTATTTGACGGTACAGAGCATGGCGAGCAGTTTACCCCACAGCAAAAATAGATTTCTAGGTCAACGGCACAGCATTAGTTTCCATGTATTGCGGTTCGAATGTGTGTCGAGATTTCAGTATTCATATGAGTATGAGTGAGTATAAGGTCACAAGAGGCTGTTGTGTTCCAGTTAGCATAGCAGTCAATTAGCATTAGACATCAATACTGAGGGGAGATGTCAAACCCAATCGCACCTGACTGTTTATGATGGATATCATCATCTAACCACCTAAAAAAAAAAGTCCCTCATTTATGGTTTCACAACCTACTTTATGCAGCAATTGACGATATAACATAAGTGTGTGTTGCTAAGAATAGCACAATAACTAGCTTTTAGCATAATGTTATAACTTTTCTGTCAAAGCCAATCACATCTGTTTATCATGGATATTATCATATAACCAATTAAACTTAAAATTAACTTTAAAAATTACTTATTTATCTTTGCACAAGCTTTTTTTAATGCAATAATTGATATCATGACATTCATGTTTAGGCTATGGCTTAGCGGTTATTTAGTGGTATTGAACATATTATAAATTCACTCTGTATCAAAGGCAACCACATCTGACCATGGATATCATCTAACCGCTTAATGTCAACAAAAATCCCTCATTTATGATTTCAGAAGCTTTTATATGTAATAATTAGCATCATAACAAGTGTTTACGCTAATAAGTGTGTTTTTCAAGATGATACGGTGGATTAGCATTATTGAACAGGTTCTAAATTCTCTCTGTTAAAGCCATTCACATCTGACCATGGAAATCATAAAAATAACTTAAGATCACAATCTTTTTATTCAATAATTAGCATCAATAAGTGTTTTGCTGCGTTCATAGGCAATGAGGCAGTTTAGTGTAATGAACATGTTATAAATTCTCATTTCTGGGTGTGTTTATTTTGCTATGTCGTGTGACACGCCTCATTGTTCTCTGGGATTAAATTAGCTTTCCTTACAGCAGTCAGAAAGGGAGCCACAGGCTGATGTCATCACTGCACTCTGATTGGCCGGCTGCCTCTGACTGCAGCTCCTTTGCTCTTGACTCTAAAGCTCTGCTGCCTGCTCTTCCCAGGATCACATGACCCAGCCGGCCAATGGTACGCCGAGGAGCGGCCGGAGGAGGGGGGTGGTGGAGCTGCAGACGGAGATGCTCCACTTGGACCTGATTGATGCAGAGGGAGGAATCCAGGAAGAAGAGGAGGAAGAGGAGGACGAGAGGCAGCCGGTTGATGCCGTCGATGACAACCACAAGGAAGAGCAGGGCGCAGGGCTGCCTGTCACTCAGCCTAAGCTAAAGGATTTCATCCCTGCTGTCGCCATGGATACCTACCGGCCCAAGAGACCCACCACCCTGAATCTTTTCCCTCAAGTGCCAAGGACTCAGGTGAGACGGACTGTCTGGGCAGCGGCCTTTGGTCTTGTGATTTGCGTCCGAGGCAGATTGACAGGGATTAGAAATTGTTTTACAGTAAGAGTGATGAATTTTTACACTGCACAAACAAGATCTCGAGCGATAATATCATCTCGAGCCATTCCCCTGGAGGGATGGGGTGTATTTTCAGTGTATATGTAAATCGTTGCCACGTAGCGTTCGGTTTTCTTTGATATTCCCGGCCGCTGATGCTGATGATGTTTCCTGTTTGCGAGCTCCCGCTCGGGCCCACCTGCTATGAATCACTGCTGCCCGCCCTCCATGCGTAATGCAATCCGACAAGACAGAGCGTGAGTGGATCATTACTGTTGACCTGTGAGGGTCAAACAGCAGGGGGCGGCACTTTAATGGGGTGATTTTAACAAAATATTACACGGTGGGATCAAAAACGTCTTTTGGATGGCGTATATGGCGCTGTTTTTGATAGTCTTGTGATCTGTGTAATGTAAATTGGAATCGATTGACATTTTAGGGTTAGCAAATTGTCACTTTTTTTACTCCGGTATAAAATATAGTGAGCGTTTCTACTGTTATTGTCCTGGAACCTTGTGTGACAACAAGCCCCAATTGAAATTTTAAACACTCTGATCTGAAATTTTGCGAAAATGTTGTTGGTTTTATTATGTTCACTTGGGAACTTTAGCAAAAATGATGATGTCAGAATTTTAGTTTGGTAAAATAGCTTCAATCTCCATTACATTTCCCAAGAGCTCAAAATGGAGTTATTCACTGAAATTAAGTTTTATTTTAAAAGTAAAAAAAATAATTATTATAATTTTACATACTATAATGGACCCTTTTCACAGACTGTTATGACAGTTTTCCACAGTTATAGTGGAGTTTTTAATTTTTTTTTTTAATGTAATATAAACATTTATATTGTTTGTATCTGCTGCTGTTTACATAACTCTATGATGACAACTGCATCTGAGAACATCAGATATTATGAAGGGTCCAAAAGTCTAGATAATATAATACTAAAATAACACTGATCTAACCTTTTACCTTTTTAATGTAAATGATTAGCAGCCATCCTTTCTCTTTCTCTATTTTGAAGTGCATTGTGGGTAATGAGGCAAAGGGAACTAAATGATTTAAGTAATGGCGCAGCACTGTTATCTCCTGAAAAACTTCCAACCCAGACTTGCTGAACTCCTATGGACCTTTTCTGGTGTTGTCCAGAATATTATATTAAAAAAAAGCATATGATTAGAATGATTCTAGATTAAGATAAATGAACATTTTGTCATTATTTACTCACCCTCATTTCAATCCAAATTTCAGATCACAATATTTTGCAGAACATTCAAGCTGCTCATTTATAAACATTGAAAGTTTCAAAAATACATTATTCAAGATCTTCTGAAATCATGCAAAACTCAAGTCTCATTCTTCATTTTATATACAGTAGGTCAATAATACAGGTTTGAAATGACATGAGGGTGAGTAAATGAATGCAAAACTTGTTGAAAATGCACATTAAACCATAAATAAAATGCAGTTTAATCTGTTTGGTCTGCAGTAACAATATTTACCATCTTATAGCATTAGTGCTGGTTAAAAGTCCAATGTCCTGAATGTCTAAAACAGCGGATATATTAAAATGAATGTTTGTTATTAAGAATTGCAAAAGCCCACTTGTTGTATGTTTTATGGTTATGAGGTTGACATGAGAGTGTTGCTAGTGACTGCAGACTGTTTTACAACTAGAGAAGATGGTGGATGACTGTAAATGTGCTTCCCTGTCTTTAATCTCGTAATCTTTACGTCTACAGCATTGGCACAGCTGCGGGGCTCAAAGGGCCTTTGAGGAATTAGCAAAGAGCTTTTACACAGTTATTGAGTAATACAAGTAAAACTGTGAAAATGCCTGCTCTAAAATGATCTACATTGTGACGAAAATATGTCAGCTTGAAAGCTAGAGGCCTGGATGTTGGCTGAAACTCTTTGAATAGATGTGGAGTGCTATTGACAACCTACTACTTCTGTAATAAAACACGTTTCTGAGTGAAATGAGATATTCAACAATTAAAAATGTTGGACAAGACTTGATTTTATCCGGAAATTATTGAATTGTTAACAGTTATGGTGTACTTTGGAGGGGCTGTGATGTCAGCCAAAAAGTAACTATTTTAGAAGCAGAGGATTGTATGTTGTATTTTAATTTATTAATATATCTCTTTGAATTTTGTGGAAAAGTAATAAAGGGGTCATGAACTGGCGTTTTAAATTTTATTCTATTGTTGTCTGAGGTCAACTTATGACGTTTCGATTGTTTTTTTTTTACATCAAAAAACATCAAAATGAATAACTAATAGGCTATTCTCTACCCTAGTTTTGAGCCTAGCTGAAAAACGCTCTGTTTTTATGGGCGTCTCGCATTGAAGACTTGGAAGTAAACGCCCACTATGGATAACAGTTTTGCATATTATAATGAGTTTCAACTCACTTGTCGATGCACGTGGGGGAAATTGTTTTGAAAACGTCCAATGTTGTAAAATGGCAACTGGAATGATTCGCCCATACATGTTCGACCCAGAGTCCGTGTGTTGTTCAATATAGACGGCACAGCACCGTTCTTAAATCTTAATCGGTCTGCAAATCCAGTCTTTTATACAAAACAATCCTCAGTGAAATGAAGCGGACAGACGGCAATGTTTTTACCTCATCAGCTGGAAACGTCATTAAAAATAAAGTTTAACCAGGCCTATTGGAATCCAGAGGAAGCTTATGCAGCGACTGTCTTCTTCCACATACAGGCACTGCACAATATTTTGTATTACTCGGTAGCTTGATCCGGTTTTGTCTTCACCAGGTAGGCATCTATTTTATTCAGCTATGCGTGTAATGCGCAAATCGGTGGACGGGGCTAAACCGGCCGTGTTGAAGTAGGCGTTGATCTTCTCCTGCGGGGGTGGTGTTTTATCCTCTATGATGTCATAGTTCCCCACTTTGAAAAACGAGTCGTTTGCTGAGGCTGGTGTCAATAAAAGCTTTTATTGGACTAACAAGGACGTTTTCAGTTCTAAGACTTACAGGATATTCTTATAATATGATGACCTCTTAGATGTCAAAAGCTCAAGGAAAATTTAATTTCTCAGTTCATCACCCCTTTAAAATATACCACCCTTTTTGACTTTTAAAGACTTTATTAAATCAACACATATGGGTTTAGGTGCATACATTCTTATTCTAGAAAGTAAGCATCTGATTGGACGAAACAATTTTTCAGCTCCAATCCAAATGTCATGTCTGGCCTAAGAAAACTGACATTTTCACCCTTCTTTCAAATATTATTAAAAATTGGTTTAATTTAAAAAATTTGCTCAAGTGCTTGGTGACAATTGTTTAATTTGAGTGAATACTATGAAACACGCCAAATATTTTGGCCAGGCTGTCATACAAAGAATTTATGAACATGCAAAAACAAGAGAGATATTAATATCTCCAACAAAATATTAATTTTTTTAATAATTATGTTGTAGTCAATATGCCTTTTCCTTGCTTTTTTGCATGGTAAAATAAAACCTGTAGCTGTTGTTTGCTTCTTCTTCTTCTTTTTTTGCCAAATAACTTTGTCAGACCAAGTTTAGTGTTTTGTTCCTCACTCATATTCAATATATATATATATAAAATATAAATAAATATATACAATTTCCTAATATTTTAAAAGTTTAATTGGACTTGTAGTGTCATTGAAAACAAATATACGCTCCAGACATCACTTTTGTCCACTAATAATGTATGTATAAATATAGTATATATATCTTTCTCAGATTTAAATGTCATATATTTATGAAGATTGCTTAATTCTAGTCTGATATTAGTAGACCCACAGTAATATTTAGAGAAAGGCTTTGATTATTAAACTAGATCGCAATATACTGTCGGGATAGAGTTTCTCCCATCTGGTTTCTTTCCTGATACTGTTTTTAGAGTCACTGGATAAGAGCCTCATTTCAGCCATCTGTGTCTTCCTCCTCCGTCACGAGCACTAGTGTGTGCTCCTACCCCCACACTTACGCACACACTGACACTCTCTCACGCATGCCAATTCTGCATCATCGATGACCATATTGCTATGGCAACATAGGAATGTCTGTGTTAAAGGTGCATTATAGCAGCGTGGTCAATTGGTGAGTCAGCGATAGGAAAGAGCGGTAAATCAATCTGTCGGGCTGCTCTTCCTGTAACTCACCTGCTTTATGGATTGTACTCAAATACTTTCTAGTTTCACTATATGATGGAAAAGCACCTAAAATGTAGTGGCAAGTAGTAATGCAGACAAAATCAATCATTTTATTCAGGATGGAGAGATGTACACATGCCTGTCTGTGTTTTAGTCTGAAAAATAAATTAATTTGATTTATTAATTAATAAATTGCTGCTGTTATTTTAAATACATTCCACTTGTTTTGATATTTTGTTATCTAATGCAATGACATTCTTATATTTAAAAAAAATATTATTTGTTATTTTAAGGTTATGTAGAGAATGTATGTATTACTGTATCTACACTGTAGTGACCAAAATATTTGGTTATCATTTTTATATTTGTACGGATTAATCTCAGCAATTTTGATCTGACCCTGTCTGCACTATATTGAAAAATCCATCTCTCATTCTTTTTCTCCATTTTATTTGCAGGACACAATAAATAACAATTCCTTTGGTGAGAAAGAACGAAGGAAAGAAAAGAAAACCCGTTCTTCATCACCACACATTAAGGGTGAGTAATGGCCACATGTTCCACAACAAATTAACACGTCTGATGAATTTGCTGAGACTTACATTTTTTCCAAACAAGTCATTTTTCAAACTCTTTTCTATGCATTAGAGGAATTACCATGAGATAAAGGCAAGGAATACAATATATGTCTCTTCATTGTGATTGTTTTTTTAGTATTCGCTTCCACGGAATGAAAACGTGTTTACGTGCTGTAATTAACTTAATGGGATTTTCGTCAATCCACTTACCCAGAGAGTTCATCTGATGTCACTTGTGTGTGACTCTGGCTAGAAGTATGAAAAATGTCTTTAAATGTCGTCTATGATAAAATACTTTCTCCTGTCCCAGTGTAATCCATTAAGGAGTGTAAATACTGTGGCTACCGGCCTCTGTCCCAATTGTCTTGCTTTTACTTTATACTTTGCTGAAAATGGCAAATTTGCATTTTGTGTGTGTTACTTTAGCACAAGTCCACCGACTTGAACACATTACCTTAAAGTCAGCATGAAATGAAAATTCATAGCTTTCTAAATGAGTAACACTTTACAATACGGGTGCACTAATATGCATTAATTCATGCTTAACTAATGCACAGGTAATCATGAGTTAATGTATAAACCATTAATTAATGATTACTGCTAAAGTGTAACTAATCAGCAACTAATAAAGAGTCTATATGATCCATAGATTATGTAATACATGAATTGCTTTTAATTCAATGTGTCATTGTGTATTAATTCCTTAATAACATTTTATTAACTAGTAGTGTAAATTAATGTGTTAATTACCACAATTAGTCAAAGCTATGCATTTCAACTTCCAGTTGTCTGCTTTAATTAATCATTAGCTAATGATTTGCAAAGGTATCATTATGTTATGACTTTACTTGTTGGGGCACATCATTATTAACTAGTCATTTAGTAATTGTAGTAATTTGCACGTGGATTTGCACTAACAATGAAGTAATTAATCATGTATTAATGCATATTAGTGTACCTGTCATATTATCTGAAAGTTGGAATACAAGGCTTTGACTCATTCTGGTAATTAACATATTAATTAACACTATTAGTTAAAAAAAAGAGTTATTATGGAATTAATCCACAATTACATTTTTGATTAATAACAATTCATGTATGAACTAATACATTAACCTTAAAGACTCTTAATTAGTTCCTAATGTGGTAATCATTAATGAATAGCTTAGATGCACATTAATTCAGTATTATTTGTGCATTAGTTAAGCATGAATTAATGCTTATTAGTGGACCCGTATTGTAAAGTGTTACCTCTAAATGCATGTTAAATGATCTTATTGTGAACAATTCATCCGTGAATGTTTCTTTATTTTTGGAAGACCATAACTAAGTCTTCTAGTGAAACAACACACTTATCTCTGATCTCTCTCCAATCATATAGTCTGCTTAAACCCCGCCCTTTTTTTTACAATCAACTGCAAGCTTGCATTCAGATCAGCCTCCATCCAATCAACAAGCAATGGATTGAACAAAGACCCGCCCTGCATTTTCTTATGATCTGTCACTACTTTAGTCTCATTGTTTCATTATTTATTTATTTTCATTTAGTGTTTATTTAAAAATAGTTTTTCTTGGTGAATTTCCTCAGTTGATTAACTATAATGAAACAGAATTTCTATACTGGTTTAAAAATCATCAGGATTCATTACTTCCTGTGCTGAGTTGTGTTTATGAGGCATTAACTGACATTTTTACATAATCCCCTTCAAATATTTTCCTCCATTAGGCTTATTGCCTAATGTATAATCTTCTGTGTGTGAAACAGGAGATCCGGCGGCCAAACCCGAGCAGGTTAGCCAGACCGATGGGGACAAAGTTCAGGCCAGGGCTGACACCAAACCACGAGGCCCAGCCTCCTCTACAAATAAATCCTCAGCCGCTTGCACCAAGCAGCAGGACAAGTTGAACAACCCCAAAGTGGTGGCGCCCCTCACAAAGGCAGTTATGAGGGAAAAATCCACGGAAGTGACCCTCATAGAGGGTGTCCTTGACATGCCGATCCTTTGCAAGGAAAAAGCCCGGTATCACACCGTCAATGGCTATCGGGAACAGGTGCAGTATCCCGTGGAGAATGAAGATACGTGTGACCAGTCGGTCGATAAAAACAAGGACTATCATGCCACTGAGGAGATCCACCTCACGCCGGTTAACGGGGAGCAGGAGCGACCGTTTCTGTCCCAGAGCAGCGACAGCAATCGCATGTCCATTAGTTCGGACACGGAGATTCCTCCCCTTCACAACTACCCATCGGCGGGTTGTCCGAACCCCTCCATTAGCGAGGAGGATGAGGTGTATCCACCTACACCCCCATGCCGGACTGTCAGCCTCGGTGACCCGGGGGATGCTAGTCAGTGGGCTGAAACCCGCAAGCCCAAAGTGGTGAAGGAGGACAAGGGAACCTCAAAAACGGTGGCGGTCAGCACGGATGCTTCGGGACTGACGTATGACTCTGTCAAGTACACCCTGGTGGTGGATGAGCATGCTAAGCTCGAACTAGTGAGCATCAAGGATTGTTACAAAGGTTACGAAAGTGACAGTGACAACACAGTCTATGAATCTGCCATTGACGATGATGAGGAGGATCAGGATGCGGACGAAGAGGGGGAAGAGTCAGGAGCGACGAGCATGAGGAGAGACACTTCCTGTTTGTCTGCCGACTCCACCACAGACACCACCTCAGACATGCCACGTTCCCGCAAGTTCAAGAATGTCTTCGTGAATGGACGGTCACGTTTCTCTGGTGAGTAGTGTGAGCTTAGAAAGTAGTTTGGAATTTAGAAATGAATTTATTTAGAATTCAGGTTCTTAAAAAAATTGTTTCACGTGCACGGATCTTTAAGGAATAGTTCACCTAAATGAAAATGATCCCTTAATTTACTCGCACTCAAGCCATCCTGGGTGTAGATGACTTTCTTCTTTCAGCCAAACAAAATCTGAGGCCCCGTCCACACTACTGCGTTTTCGTTTAAAAACGGAGACCTTTTGCTACGTTTGCACCTCCCGTCCAGACTAAAACGGGAAAAACGAAGATCTAAAACGGAGAAGTTTAGAAACGCGGCAGCTCCGTTTTTCGTTTTGAATTTCCGGAGGGCGTTTTAGTGTGGACGAGACAAAACCATACAAAACGGAGAACTTCAGAAACGCTGACGCTTGGCTCTATGATTGGGTGTTATCAGTCTTGACGTGTCCTTCCCTGATTCGTCATTCACTGTTTACACCGGCACGAGCATGCCCAGTGTTGGTGAATGGTCACGTGATCCGCGTTTTCAGTCGTTTTAATGTGGACGGAGATCGTTTCTAATACGCAGATAAAACGCTGGTGTGGACGGAGATCGTATTCGTTTTAATTCTCCGTTTTTAAACGAAAACGCAGTAGTGTGGACGGGGCCTGAGTTATTTAAAAGTAATATCCTGGCTCTTCCCAGCTTTGTAATGGCATTGTGATGCCCCAAGTTTTTGAAGCTTCTCTATTTGTTGCTCTAAAGACCATTCACTCCCAGTAGATGCCGACTTTTTCGTTATAACCTGACCTGGGTTGAACATGTCATATAATTCAAAGAGAGTAAATGGCTATGTGGAGTGGTTTACCAGAAAATGCAAGTGCAGTGTGAAGAATGGCAAAGGTCCAAGGGTTGAACCTTGTGGTACCCCTTCCATAATACATAATAGAAGAATTCCAAAGATTTTCCTCATTAACAGGTTTGCTAATATCAGACCAGCCAGGAGCAAGACTGTGAAATTCAGCTAGCATTACCTGCCGCAATGTCTATTTCCCTTGTTTTTCCTAGTGACAATGAACGTTTGTTCTCCTACTTAGGGGCGGAGTTTGGATTTTTCTCCTGTGTTATTAATGGAGAGGAAAGAGAACAGAGCCACAGAGGAGTGTTCAGGTAAAGATTCAATCAAAGCCTGAGATGCACTCATTTAAAAAGCACAACAGTGACTTGAAACATATGATGAGCATAGTGTTTTTTTTTTTAATATTCTTCATTTTATTATAAGAAATTGTATAATATTTAAGTTGAGAGATGAATACACTCGTCAAGTTAAAATGAATAAAATTCAAGTAATAATAATACAAATAAAAGCATAATAATAATAACATGTTTCCTTACTGTATTTGTATTATTATTATTGTTGTTATTATTTTAAGTATCATTTTGTCTTGAAAATATCACAATGCAAAGTAATTGTACTAAAAACAGATTTATTCTTTTGATTTGTAGTGAAATTCACCCACAAACCAACTACAGCAAAACAAGATGACAGCACACAAAAAAGCATAGCATTGCAGGACAGATCTGTGCATATTTTGAAAAAAGTCACACTCTACTCATGCGTGGTTCCCTAAACTCATTTTTACTCATTTTATTTCACAGGTTTATTCCTCGCCATGATGATGAGTTGGAGTTGGAGGCGGATGACCCCTTACTGGTCGAGTTTCAGGCCGAGGATCTGTGGTGTGAGGGCTACAACATGCGCACTGGATCCAGAGGCATCTTTCCTGCATTCTACGCCGTCAAGGTGACAAAGGATGAACTTGTTAAAGGTAAACCTTGGCTTTGTTATGGCGTTTTGAGTATTTGAATTTTTGTAGATTGTGCAATAATGTCTGTTCGCTGTGATTTATTCAGAGGTCAAAAGTGACTGGATGGACAAATTCTGGGTGAAATTTCTTGGTTCTGTTCAAGTGCCGTATCACAAAGGGAACGATGTGCTTTGTGCCGCCATGCACAAAGTATACTACTTCATTTCTGGATTTGCATACATTTACATAATAATTTCATGTTATGTTGTTGTTCATGTGTAATCTGATGTTCATACGCAATCTGATTATGTCAACAGATAGCATCAAACAGAAGAAAAACAATGCAGTTCAGCCCTCCTTCGCCTTGCATTCTGGAAATCAACACAAGAGGAGTGAAAATCATCGTTCAGGATGACTGTCGGACTTCTGGAAGGGTTGGTATACCTTAGAACAACTAATTTATTTATTTTTTCTTAAAAAATTACTCGCCTATTATATTGTCATTCCTGTCATGTAGTACCATATCAAATAGTTTTCAAAATGAATATGTTGTGTTATTATTTATGGAAGTGGTTCAATAAAGGGTTTAAGGGGTCAATTTAATTTTGATGTTGTATTTTACATCAAATTTGAACTTATATTTTAAGTATTTTATTGAAATACTGTATTCTGATATCAGTTGCTATCATTTTATCCATGGATGGAATATTTTAAACTGAGCGACACTGACTAATGAATCTAAACTAAACTAAACCTTACGTAAATCATAAAATTTTGTTAATTTTATTGTTGTCCTACCAAAGTGATATCACTTCCTGAAAGATGATGTCATTAAGGATGTGTCTTTTGTTAGTAAAAGAGATATTAACTGATTAAACCTGTGAAATAATTATTAATAATGAATAATCTCAAGAAGTTTTGCATTAGAAGAAACACTTATAGAATTACTTATATAATATTTATTAGAAAATACTAGGAGTTTATTCTAAATGTTTAAATGATATATATATATAAAAAACTTTATTTCTATATTTGAAAAATTAATGATGACATGAAATAGCATAGTAGGCATGAACCACACGCCACTGTTTAAGGGCGCTCTCAATAATACCTGTAGATTTGTGATTTGGAAATGGACTTTGACATTTGACCCCATGGAGGCGGTCTTAGTGTGACTAGATGTTGTCATCAAAAGGCTCTTCCACTAAACTGAACTCTGTGACGTAACATTTGGGTTCCACGGTTATTCAATCAAGTGTCTTAATGCGGGGGGTTCTTGTCCCCTAAGCCCCTCTGAGTGAATTTGTGAGCGCGCTCAGTGATGTTAATCGCAGGCTTCAGGAGTTAAGCGCACATACTGAGACGACCTCACACTGCATGTGCTTCCTGCTTACACTAATGTGTTCCAATCCCTGCTGCTGATTAGACCACTCAGTCTTTCATTTCATATTTTACAGGGTGAGAAGTGCTTTCACTTTTTCCAATTGAAAAACATCTCCTTTTGCGGATGCCATCCAAAGAATAACAAGTGAGTTTGAACCTCATCGAACATCTCATCATGCTTTTATTAGAAAAATAAGGGGGAATTAGGGCTTACATAAATTAATAAAATAATTGAAATAAATTTTAATAAATTGATAAATAATTAATAGATTTTTACCTTTCAAAGGTTTGGGGTTGGTAATATATTTTTTAAGTCTCATGCTCACAAAATTAATTTGTTTGATCAAAAATAAATTTAAAACAGTACTATTGTGAAATATTATTGCAATTTAAAACAACTATTTTCTATTTTAATATATTTTTAAATGTGAAATATACTGAATTTTCAGCATCGTCACTCCAGTCTTCACAGACATATGATACTTCTCAAATAGTATGCTTTGATTTGCTTACGAGATTGCAAGACTCAAGATTTGCAATGTTTTCTTATCATTATCTCTCTTGAAATATGCATATTTTTGTGGAAACCATTTTTCAGGATTCTTTAGCGGATTAAAAATAAAAAAGAACAGCATTTATTTGAAATAGAAATCTTCTGTAACCATATTGAACAATTTAATGCATCCTTAAAAGTATTAATTTCTTTCAAAATCTGAATTGCAGTTTAGATGCAGTGATTAATATAAGATTCTTAATCTGGGACTGAGATCTCGTGGTCACTTATATAAAGCTGTAACAATAACCCCATTTTTATCTAGCTACACTGCCCCCTACAGGAAACCAAGAGAACACAACAATGACAATAGAGTCAGACACGACTTGACTGTAAATACTCTTGTGTGTTTCTTTCAGGTATTTTGGACTAATAACAAAACATCCAGCATACCAGAGATTTGCCTGTCACGTGTTCTTCTCAGATGATACAACCACAAAACTGGCTGAGTCTGTAGGGTGAGTTCTCCAGTCATTTCAAGATTACACACGACATTCACACTAATTTACACTTGAAACACTAACTTATGTATTTGAGGCATATGCTTTTTGCTTATTACTATATTTAGAGATACATATACAGACTGTATAATACGGGTAGATGGGGCCCCAATGGGTCTGGCTTGAATTTCCCACTTAGGACCCACATAAGACTCTTACAGAGCCCATTTAAAGCCCATCTGGGTAACCATAGTTGGATCCCGGGTGCAAGCCCACTTAAGGCCCATTTGGCCAGGTGGGGCCCAAATGGGTCTGACATGAATTGCCCAATTAAGACCCACACAGTACCCGTACTGGTCCCAATTTTAGTACATCTGGGCTTCCACAGCTTGCCCCAATGTGGATCCCGGGTGCAAGCCCATAATGGGGCCCACATTTGCCGCCCATCAAGCCCTCATATGGGCCCCACATGTCATTGCTGGCTGGGCTGTATACTGTATAATACAGTAGTAGCCTATACAAATGTGTGATTTGATGGTTGTTAGTTGTTTGAAGGTCGTATATTAGTCTCAGTGACGTCATATATAAAATGTTATAAAATTATACATTTTCTCAGAAATAGATAAATTTTTACTAGAGCCTAACCGATAAAGGATTTTGAAGACCGATACCGATACAAATATTTGTTGGTTTTAAAATCTGATATTCCGATACAAAACATTAACAGATTTCCCTAACATTAGTTATTTGTAGTTATTTATGAGTTTTAACTAAAATAATATGATAATGCATTTTAAAAAGAAACTTGTAGTGGCATTAGCTGTGGTTAGCTAGTCTATGATGAGCCATATTTTAGCAATGTATAATGTCCTACTGCAAATTGTAAAACATACATTTTCAATATAACAGGCCAAGGAGAGATGCTATAACTGTCACACGCTATTAAAGAAATACTTCAGTCTCATTGTCAAAAGTTAAAAGGACAGTCAGTCAACTACACTGTAAGAACGTAACGTAACTATTACTAGCTAATTCCGCTTCACTCTCGGCTTATTTAACAGCAGCAAAACTGGACATGATAGTCACAAATTTTGTTATTTGAGTTAAGAGAACTGATGGGGATGTTCTTTTAATTGTTATTCAAGCAATCTATGTCTGTGCCCTCTGGTGGACAAACTATACAACTATACAACATTCATGACATAGTTCAAGCTTGTTTCGTCCGTTTTTATTTTATTTTTGAAATATTCTTTTATCGGCCATTATAACTGCCGATACCGATAGTTTAGAAAATGCCTAATATCGGCCTGCCGATATATCGGTCTGGCTCTAATTTTTACTTACGTTTTTACCTACATCGATCTGCTAAAAGTTAATTTAAAATATGGCACTAACGTACTTTTGTGTTTGGCATAAATGAAAACCAAACTGATTGTAGTTAGTAGTTTCTATATCTAAAATCACATCTAGACCTTTCCAAAAATGCAGTTAAAATGTGACTTTGTTGCACACAATATAAATATTTACATTTATTAATTTAGCTGAAATATGAATGTAAATGTTTTTCTTTGTTTGAACAGGAAAGCTTTTCAGCAATTCTACAAAGAAAATATGGAATATTCCTGTCCGACAGAAGACATCTTCCTCGAATGACCTTCGGTCTATTTGTATTTTTGCATTATCACATACTGTATGAGGTGTTGCATGATGGTGGTTTTGATCCTCTTTGTAACGTGTCATGTTGATGATATAATGTTGACGTCTATTTCAGACAAATGTTAAAATCGAAACGAATATCGGCCACACCGCAACTACTTTCACCTCGTACATCTTGAGTATTATTGACTGGTGTAAAGCCTTACGGAGTTTAATAACTGAAAAAATGTTCGATGTAACTTGTAAAAAATCATTTCTGTGCGAAGTTTGGTTTCATTTATTAATTCGAAGCACAATGTTTGATGCATTAATGTTGGATGAAACAAGACAGAAAAGAGATCATAAAGCTAGACTGGATCCAAAATCAAGTTTTTCTCGGAAACCAAAGCTTTACTGGGGATCGTCCTTCTTCACTCAGAACGGATGTGAGCCATGTAATTGAATTCAGCCCAGTTTGTCCATCTGGTGTCCCTGACCCGCTTTGCACCACAGGTTAAGACCACTTTCCAACAATTACCACATCGTATTAGCAAATCTTTGAACCCAAGGTTATGAATCCCTGATCCAGAGCATTAAAGTACAGTCACATTTATCATTGTTTATCGAATTTTTATGGTCGAAATCAATACAGTAGGAATCCTACGGAAAGCTACTTGATTTCGATTCACAAAGAGCGAGTTATTGGGCATAAAAAATGTCAGTGGAATGAAAAAAAATGCAAGGTCTAGAGACGTGTTGATGACTGCCTGCCGCATTTTTAGAGAAGGCAAAAGACGTGAGATGTGAGCGTAAAGGTCAAACACGATCGACTCTACGGGATTGTTCACACAGATTGTGTATTTGCTCTTAAAAATGTGAGAGAAAGGTCAGTGGAACAAAAACCGCAAGGTCTAGAGACGCATTTTTTAAAAGCTGACCAACTTTTAACTTGAGCGCCATGTTTTTAAATGCCGTGTCTACAACGTGATGCGAAAAAGCAACAGGATCCATTATAATCAGTGATGCTGTCTACAGTGGATGCATCGCGACAGTAAACTGATGCCCAGTTCTATTTCTGATATACTCCATGCGTTTGCGCTACTTCTGATATGAAGGACAAATGGATTTGCAATGTTTGCTTTGTCGCGTCCAGTATGGACTGCTTCTAGCCGGCAACGGTTGCATGACGCAAATGCAATGGCTAACAACATCCGTCTAGTGCTTTTACATTGAAAAACAATGGTAAAGTAGTGCAGTGAGATGGAAAAAAAGGTATTCCGTGTGAACGAGCCCTAGAGCATTAAAATAGAATTCCATTCCACGTTTTTCCCTTGTCCATTCCACAGAGCTACTTTTTCATTGTTTTCCTGTGTTTACGGCCCAATGCCACAATCAATTTCAAGTGTTCTTGGTTCAATTGGGTACTTGCTGTCATTTATCTGCGCACTACAATGTCTCACAAATACAATACAGCACCCATGCTTACTTCTGTGAATGCTTTTTCTTATTGGTTCTCGTATTCAATGTTCACGTGTGCTTAGATTCCCATATGTTGCTCTGTTAAACAGAGCATAGTCTGGGCCTTTTTGCATTCTGGTTCAATCTCAGAATCCCTGGCATATGTAGCTGTGAAAACCAAATAATTGTATTTTCTTTTTACATATTATATTAGATATCCTATTTATAACTATACAAAATGGAAAGATCTTAAAGTATATATTATTCTGGCACCTGAAATATATATAAGGAGAGGATGCGACACTGTCATAATGACAGAAGGTGCCGAGGAATACTGCTGCCTGGTAGTGAAAAGTTTGTGCTTGCTCATTTTTTGTTTTCCTGATACAAAAAAGGAAAGGTTTAAAGCCAAGGCCTAAAATGGACCCATTTTCACCAGTCCTTTCAAAATGGCACATCCTCACAGCATGCGCTTACCTATTATGCAATATTCACAAAATGAGCAGTCTTAATTGAATAATCTGCAGAAATGGCGTTCTGTAGAACAGTTTCTCACTGTGCGTGAAGATATTTTGCTTGGTACGGCCATTTTGAAAGGTGGTATTCAGTTATTAGGACCATTTGTGTCTGCAAAAAAAATATTTGCGACTTGATCCTGCAAAATCACAAGTTGTGCCTATTTCATCTGTTATCACTGTATATTGTTTTTTTAAATGATCATAACTTTTCTGTTCTGTGGAAATCATAAAATTAAATCCTATTTGTAAATCGATTGTCCCGATGTTTTATTGCTAACAGTGCATCAGTCATGAAACACTAGAGGACGCATGCTGAAAGGTTGACATGCAATCGCATCATTACCGCATGGCACACACTGATTGGCCTTTGCTAATCCTGCAGCCAATGAGATTGCTTCCTCAACATGTAAATAGTCTCGTATTTCAGTATTGTTCAGTGCTGTAAGCTAGTCCTGCTGTTGTGTGCTATCAGAGTTCCTCTCTGAAACCCCCCAGCTCCCCCTGCCTAAATCTGCTACAGCATTTATGAATGTCTATTTATGCAGCAGCATATCTTACATGCTCAAGTCCATACTTGCTCTGCAGCAATAATCAATAGCAGCAGCAGCGTTTGATGTAGTTCGCCAATACCAAATACATAACATTGGCATACTCAATGACATGCTAAAACTATTTCTCTCGAGTTTTCAAGTGTGTGTGTATATATATTACAGATCAATTACTGTACTGCGTTTTCCTTTATACAACAGTTATATAACAAGAAGTTAGGTAATTGACATTTTTAGACACAATATGGATGGCTAATTTGTTTATTTCATGGTTTCAGCTATGAAAGTAAGTGGACTACAGTGTAGCCCATAGAAATGGAAGAGTGAGCGTAGACAGACAGAGTAGAGATGCTTCAGCACTGCTGGAACGCCACTCTAATCAAATCAGTGAACTAGCATAACTGCTGTCTAAAAAATCATAAAGAAGCTAGCAAGCAGGGATGTGCGTGTTAATTCTCAGAGGAGTCTGTCTCCTCCGTGGAACCGTCGCTTTCCATTTCGATCCTCTTGCGTTGGTGCAGGGACTTGCGTGGCGAGGCCTTCTTGGACGTCTCCTTCTGTCCCGCAGCGCTGCTGCTGCTGTTGTTGGACGTCGGGCTGATGGCAACTTGAGCTATGCTGGAAAATTCACAGAAACAGAGTCAAATGTATTACATCTCAAATCTAGCCACTAGCATATTAGCTTTCAATAAAATGCGTAAGCGTTAAATATAAAAAGATTGTTTGTACGCTCTCCGTCTTTTAATAAAAGACGTTTTAGTTAACCAGCAAGTGACTGTAATATACTCTTTGAAGCAAGGCCGTCTCTCTCACAGTCTCTCCAGCTCCTGGTCCATCTCTGGATCAATCAGCAGGTCCGATTTATTGGGAAGAGCACCTGATAATTATATGACAGAAGATAAAGCATTCAGTTCACATGTCTAACTATCATTAGAACAAAAATTACATGTATTCAGAAATACGAGTAATTCATTTTATATTAGCAAATACTCACTGATGTCTTGGTTTACTCCCTCATGTTTGGCCAAGGCCATCAGAAAGCTATAGAAAGACACTCGCTGACTGCTCTCTAATATCTCCTTAATGGCAACAATGGAGGGAAACCTGGGAAAAGATGAGATCAATATCATGTTCTAGAGTTGGTGGGTAACACATTACAAGTAACGCAAATTACGTAATCCGATTCATTTTTTTAAGTAACTTACTGAGAAACAAATTGCTGTAATTCTGCAGCATTAAATGGAGCTAGTGTTGTGATTGTTAACTAAAAATATGAAAGATAATTTTCTGACATTGAAATAAAATTGCAATAAAATATAATTAAATTAAAACTAATTTATATAAATAATTGTAAGTTGAAACAAAATTGAAACATGAAAATAAATTAAAAATAATAAAAGCCAAAAACATATTTGTTAAAACCACATAACAAATTACTTAAACTTAAATATGTAATTTGTAAACTAAAAAATATAAAAATAAAAACTAATTCAAAATATTAATAAAGTATATAAATATTGAATGAATGTCTTACTTGTGTTTGAACCTCTCACAAAGACCCTCTATACATTCACAAAAGATGGAGGAGTCAACGCCTTCTTGAGCGTCCGGCTCCTCATTGGCTGCGCTGGACAGCTGTTCCACAGAGGTGGAGGTCGGGACTATGACGGTGTTTGGGTTCTTCCCTGACAACAGGTCTTGGTAAATCACAGACACACTCTCTACAAACTCTGTGAAAGTGGATGAAGATTAGATCATTCTGATGAAAGGCGGAGCCTCGAGTAACCATAGAAACGCTTACACATGGTGATGATGTCACTGGCCTTTTGTTACATCACTGTTAAAATCTCAAGGTCAAGTGCAGCTTTTGTGTTAGCAAGACCTTTAAATATCACCAGTTCTTTTGTGATTGGGCGGTTAAGAAATAACACCTGAATCTATTTCTTAACATCAAGATTTTACGTTTCATTTTATATGAATGTATAAGGAAAATTGTATGTTTTTGAATTGCTATAAGTGGTTACAATTAAACATTTTTAATTCACTTAATATGTTTACCATAAAGTAGGTTATGTGATGTTCATACAGACGTCATAAGCAAAGTGCAGCTTAATTTTATAGTCTAGTTCATTATATTACTAGTTAAATACCTTCATAATAGAACTGGATTTGGAATGAATAAATAAAATCAGAGAATGACAGACAGTCAGTGGCATCGTCTATCAGCACAATCCTGCGATAGAAAGAAAACATTAAAGTTATTCAGTTAAATATCAATGTGAAAGGAGGGAAACGTCAACGAATCATCAAACAGAAAATTTGAAATTACCTGGCTGTGTTTTGTACCATCTCAGTGGGAAAGTCAGGGCACAACAGCTGTAAAAGTGAACTGTATTCTGAAATTGCCAACAGATCTGCAAAAAGAAACAGCTGTATTTGCTCGATGTACCACACAACAATGCAAACAACTGAATAAGAGAAGTGGCATGACAAATGGCGTATTTGCCTATGCTTACCCCCATTCTTTCCAATCTGTCGGAAGCATTTCCAGAAGATATGTATAAAAGACTCTCTGTTGTGAGGTGTTGCTTTAATGTAACTGAATTCCCTGAAGAGCACATGATTCCCATTCTTCACACTAGCAAAACTGCAAAATTATTATTTTTAGGACATGTATCATGGTTGTATCTGTATTAGCTTTAGTATCATGGAGTGCCATGATAATGTGTCCTCAAATAATATATAAAATTATTTATAATAACTTACTATTCTGCAAAATATCGGACCACACCAAACTGGGTGTATTCCTCTTTATGTTCAAGTAGCTGTGTGACAGCATCATTGAGATAAAAGAGTACATTCGTTTCAGCTGGAAAGTAAAAAAGAAAAGGCAATGTCATAGTAGTGTGTCTGTAATAGTTTTTAATGCAACTGTCAATCATTCTGCAAGCAGGCATCTTGGAACCGACTGCAGCTTAACAGTCTGCGCACCAACAACAAAACAACTGACGTTACCAAGGGATAACCGTAACATAGCCTACCTAAATACTCGTCAACACTGAGGCTGAAACGATCCGTATTCATTTTCATGCTTTTTTATGGTTTGCTGGGATGTAGATGCGGTTCATGACTGTCCTTGAAGATCCATTAGCGGTCAGTGCGCCCACTCTGCACTGATGCTGACACTGACTACAGCGCATCAAATAGGCTAGTAAGGATTCATGCGTACAGTTTCTTAGGACTGAGTGCTAAAATGAAAGGTTAACCTTTATATTACTCCATTTAAATATACTTTATTATCTTATTTTAAAAATATAGGATCACTGGAATTCGATATTTGCGTGTTTTACAGGAATATTTATTTCGCATTTGAGACAATCTTTACACAAATTCATCTAGGGATATAAAACAACCAATAGACGACGCGGTCGAGCAGCACGTGACACAACACGGAAGTGAACGCTGGGTGGAGTCTCGTCCTCGTTTTTAAAAAATGCTCGGCTGTGTTTCGTCAGTTTTTGTTGACGTAGCCGCGGCTATGGAAACCCGCGCATGCGCAGCACAGCTGTTTACTGCGCCCATATGTCTTTCCATTTAAATACTAATCCACGAATCTGTATTTTTGCGCTGCCACAGGTCGCACATATCAATTCCAAAAGCACTGAAATCCATTTACGAATTAAGGATCGTGATAGACATTATTTCTATTTAGATCTGTCCCAAGCTAGGAACATATATACAAATGCACGCTAAAGCAGTATTTTGTTTATTAAATGTCTAACGTTAGATTTTATTTATAATAGACATATAATGTTATATATTGCAAAACTGTTAATAATTGCACACATATGTATTGAATAGCTTTTTATTTTGTTTGTCAATGTCCCGAAGTTTTGTTCCAAAACCAAAAGTATATTCTTTACTGAAAACAAGATACGATAATTGATTCTGTTATTGCATGCTCACTTCACTTTAACGTTAAAACACCAAATATGCAATAAAACCTGTATAAACTACAAAATGCACTCTACAGTCTATAACAAATGGATTGGACGTTTGAATGAAAACTAGGCGTCTCTCCTCCCCCTGTCTCCCCGCCCTCGGAGGCGTTTCAAAGCCCAGAGAGTAATGACCAAATATCGGTCCCAGCTGATGAAGATCGCCCTGTCTTCCCTCTCTAAAAGCAGGTAAATAAAACTGATATATGGAATTGTGATCGAAGATTATTACACTAAAGCCGTTTGATGCTTTTTTGGCTTCATATACGTTGCTGCGTTTTATTTGAGGGCCTTGGTTTTAGTGACGGACTGAATAATATCAATCCGCTTTTATATCTGTGACAAACAATAGTGTGAGTCGGGTTTTTCATTTTACTGCCACATGTCAGGTTAGATGAGATGAGGATAAATGTTGACATTTTAGTCGTTGTGGAAAGCTATGGAAATGGCGATATTTGTTTGAATCTCGTAATGGTTTAAGCTGTTGCAGGACTAACAGACAGCCAGTCAGGGCCGCGTATGTGCTAACAGCTAACCGGTATATTTAAATTTAGACATATTTACACCCTGAAACTAAACAAACTATACACGGGAATTGTTTTATTAAACCGTGAGGATTAAAATAGCAGTGTCCTGATTGAAATAAGACCATATTTTAACGTTTTAATCTGCAAAATGATACGGGCCGAGCGACAGTGGTTGCGGGTCACTAACGGCTCTGCTGCACCCCCGTTAGTGTTCTCACATGTGATGCGCTGCAAACCACTTTAACGTTTTTAAATGCCCCACACTGCTTTATTTATAATTTTCTTGACTAATAAATCATTTAGACGGTTGCCATTGCTCTAAACACTCATTGTTTGCTTTAATGTTTGTTTTGGGCGGGCTGAATTGGCGGCGCTGTCTGCATGCACACGTTTCTTTGCCTAACGTTATAACGTTATGCTTTTAAATTGTGTTTTCCTCACTTAAAGCCAGGGCTTTGTATTTAAGTATTTACATTTAGGTTTAGATCGATATATGTAATATGAAACCAGGCTCTTCTGGGATGCATTAGTGGATGTTGCTCTGCTTTAGCTGCAGATCTGGATGATGTGTGCATTTGCTGTGAAGTAAATCAAGTATTTCTTCTGTCTGGCTGGAGATTGTTGCTGAAATTCATGTGGATATTGAAAAGTGCACTGAACTTTATTTACTGTGACAAGCTAGTCTAGTTTCCTATGTCATTTTTAATTGTACTTGTTCTTAATTGCTTTTGTTATGGTTGAGGTGTTAGTTGCATGCTTCAGATGAGCTCAAACATGTCCATTTAACTTAAACTGTACCTTTACTTATTTAGTACATGTTTTTTGTGTGTACAAGTTGGTTTGATTGAATTTTTGTATTGCTTTGTATGGTGTGTGAGCAACCAAAGTTTCCCTTCTTTTGTTCAGTTGAATAGATCAGACCGACAGAAAACAGCCATGGGGGATGACAGTGAATGGATGAAGTTACCCATCGACCAGAAATGTGAACACAAGGTGAGCGATCCAGGCAACTTCTATTTTTTGGCCCATCAAAAATCCCCTGACAGTGTTGGAAGACCAGCTTCAAACTGTCAGCAGTTTGCTCAGCCTAATTGTATAGAGATGAATGCATGCAAAGCAGTGAAATAAATGTGAACAACATTCTTTATGGAAAACTTACACCTTGATGAAATGAATCTCATTTACATTTAGGTGTGCAACTACTTAGCTAAATGGTTTAACCTAAGTAAGCACTATAAACCCATTATTAAAAAATTAAAATTTCAACAAAAAAAAATTGCACTAAAGATATGCTTGTCTGATATGTGTATACAGCTACACAAACTATGCAAAGTTTTGAGTTTTGTAATGTTGATAATGTGAAAAGTCTTATGCTCACTGAGGCTGCATTTTTTTTTTTTTTGAACAAAAGTACAGTAAAACAGTAATATTTTTGAAATAGCTGAAAAAGCTGAATTTTCAGTATCGATACTCCAGTATACACTGTCCTGTGATTCTTCGGAAATCATTCTAACAAGCTTATTTGCTGTTTAAGAAGTATCTTATCAAAGTAAGATAAACTATATAATCATTTAAGGCTTTTTTAAATTTTACTATGGACAACTATTGGATAACTTTTCTGAGGTGAATCGTTAACGTTAATGCTATCTTAGGTGACATGTTTACATATGACGTTTTTTAAACTGATTGGACGATTACACAAGCCTATATTTCAGCCAGTTGCAAGGCATCTTTCAACATGCCTTTTGATGTTCATTCATTTTTTTTTCTTGCTGATACTTGTAGTTAAGGGGCGGGATGATCAGGGGTGAGAGTAGTGTGCAGCACTTTTATTTGAAACACTACCCCTGTTTTCACAGACCAGGCTTAAGCTTAGTCCTAGACTAAAATGTTTTAACTGAAAGCAACTTGCACTGGAATATCCTAAAATATGTCGGTGCCACTTTTTTGTTTTGCCTTGAGATGCACACCACCACTAATGTTTTTTAAGGCATGTTTATAAAAGCTACTTAAATGCCCTAATTGAACTAAGGTCTGATCCTGCCTTAACCTAAAATCTGTCTGTAAGACCGTCCCCTTGTTTTTGACAGATTAGTAAATTGATACGTTGATTGGTCACACATTTTGCTTGAGTTTTATGATGCAAATTCAGTTTAGTAGTTGGTACTTTGTTTTATCAACCTGAGTTTTATGCATTTACTGCACATAGTGACTTAAATGATAAAGCATGTTTAGTTGAAGAGTTCTTGTCTATTATAAATAATGGCTGTTAAACATACGTCGGCCTCTAAGGAAAGTGGGCCAGTTAGTTACCTCAAGTAACAAGCTCATTTATTCGTTTTTTTGTTGTTGTTGTTGTTGTTGTCATTATTGATCTTCTGTTTTCCCTTAGATTTGGAAAGCAAGGTTAAATGGATACGAGGAAGCATTGAAGCTCTTCCAGAAGATAGAAGATGAGAAGAGCCCGGAATGGGGCAAATACCTTGGACTTATCAAGAGATTCGTAACAGATTCCAATGCCGTAGCCCAACTCAAAGGACTGGAGGCAGCACTTGTTTTTATCGAGAATGCACACGTGGCTGGAAAGTAAGTATATTTACTTTTATGGTGCTTTTTGGACAAAAAACATGTCGCAACCGAAATATTTGAACATGGTGCTAGTCGCTAAGTTTTAAACCAGTTTCATGAACCGCTAGGAGGACTAAAGGCAATGTTTGCTTTTCTCTCGATCCCTGGGGAGCTCTTCATTTTCCTCTGAAATGTTTTATATGGGATAACATTTTGTAAGAACTTTGTTCACAACTGAGTTTTTGTAACAAAGCACAAATCTATTTTTGGATCAAGGGGGAGTCATCAGGCACAGTAGGAACGCAGCACTAGCTATAGTCTTTAACCCATTTAGAAAACCATGGAAATATCATCTTTTTATTTCTCAGTTGAGACATTATTATCGTCACAAGGATGACGGAAGTTCTTTCTTTTTAAACAAGCATCTAAAAAGGCCTAAATTTGTGCTGCTCCCTCCATCGCTTTTCATTAGGCCTGTTGAGTTGGTGTTTTTATGTCTGTCTAAAACCAGATAGAGTCGTTTCGTCATTGTTAAAGGTGTGAAAGTAACTTTCCTCCCATGATGTTTGTTTTGGTGATTTTCAGTTTGCTTCAGGGATAACACGACAGTCTGTTGTGTTTTACTTTAGCTATTAGTGCCACAAGAATGGTCTTCAAGTTGGTGCGCTAATAAGGAACATACTTACTTAAATGTTGATTTGTTGGGCTTAGGAGGATCCATTATGTCTTAATGGGATCTAATTGAAATGATTCTTGTCTTGCAGGACAACGGGGGAAGTGGTTTCTGGAGTAGTCTGCAAAGTCTTCAACCAGCCCAAAGCGCGAGCCAAGGAACTGGGGAGTGATATCTGCCTCATGTACATAGAGATTGAGAAAGCAGAAGTGGTCCAGGATGAGCTGATCAAAGGACTGGATAACAAGAACCCCAAGATTGTTGTTACTTGCCTTGAGACACTAAGGAAGGCACTTTGGTGAGTAGGCAATTTTGAAAGCTGTTAACCATCACTGTACTGGCCGGCACTTATTCAGCATAAAAAAAACTTGTTTATTTGTCCTTTTTCAGTGAATTTGGATCGAAGATCATAACCCTCAAACCTGTAGTGAAAGTGTTGCCAAAACAGTTTGAGTCTCGAGAAAAGGCAGTTCGAGACGAGGCCAAATTGCTAGCGGTGGAGATCTATAGGTGGATCCGCGATGCTCTGCGAGCTCCTCTACAGAATATTAATTCCGTACAGGTGATGTTGCTAAATTTTCACTTAAAAGTATGCGTCTTGTACTTGAACGTTCATCGTTCTCTTGAAATTGGTGTAGATATTGTTTTTCTGGCTTGTTAATGCAAGTTATAATGTTACTTGTTTGACCCTTTTCTTACAGTT